TCATATGCTTGTTACTCAGTACAATGAGTATAAAGCTGCCATGGACAAGGTGCATAGTCGAGTCCCACAGAGATTGAATTTGCTAGAGTTTCGGGCACTCCACAACAAAGTAACGCCTCCTGCCCTAGACCTTTTGAAAGAGCAGATCTCACTTGCCAAAAACGAGCAACAATACAGGCCTGGCTGTACAGGCTCCTTCACAAAGAAGTACGGTTTGCCCTGTTGCCACACTCTCCACCGACATGCCCATCGAGCAGTCGAAAGTGAGATAAATATAACCCTTGAGGAGATCCATCCTCACTGGCACTACTACCCAAAACAGAGCAGCAGTCAAATACTGCCTGCTGTCGTGCCTCGTGATCCTGCAACAGTCAAGGGCAAAGGCCACCCAAAGAAGCAGAAGATGAGTGCCCCTACCCACCAGCCCTCCGCACTTACTGACAGTCAGCGAGAGCCTTCCAGTTTTGAGGTAGTTGCAGCAAGCCAAGTCACAGCTACCCAGCATCCCCGCATCTCTTATACTCCAGGCCATGGCCGTGGGGGTGATGGAGGTCAATCCTCGGTTGCTCTCACTGCCAATTCCACTGCCAAATCTAACCATGGTAGCACCGCCAGCCAACCTATTGAGATCGATGGCTCTGCCCCAGGCGCACCTGGAGGTGAGTTATCTTCAACTCAGGTGACCGCAGTGGCTATGAGGTACGAGCCTGAGGAACTTATGGATCTCTCATAGTTCAGAGAGGAGTTTGCAAGGAGGAGCAACATGGCTTCAGATGGCAAAAGGAAGCATGGAAGACCTGTTGGCTCGAAAGATAAGCAGCCGCACAAGCGCAAGTCAACTGGCAAGGCTCTTGAGGCAGTAGGTGAGGTGGAGGAGGAAGGTAGTGTTTGAGTTTGGTATTCTATCCCGGCTGCATCACGGGTTTTGTGGAGTCCCCACAACAGTGAGCTATTGCACCACCAAAAGCGATTGGAAAATTCTGAAACTTGAGGAAACGGTTCTGATAGTATATAACTTCAATTTGAATTAATTACTTTATCTGTGGGTTGCGTGGAGTTGAGTTTTGCAAGGGTGATGGGGTGAGAGTCGTGATGTTCACCAAAATGGCTCTCAGGACTGTTCCTTGGCGTAGGCGCTGCGATGACTGTCGATGCCCGGAGCTGCGCTCGGATCGGGGGACTGGGTATATTTGATCACGGGGTGTAGTTTGCATCCCCGCAGTATTTTGGGTTACGACTGCGTACATCTGAGTGGGAGGTCTTCGCCAGGGAATTTGGGGGGTCTCCGAAAAGTTCTTCTCATATAAAAAGAAGCTATAGTTTAATTTTAGTAAAGAAATACCTTGTTGTTGCATAGATATTTAAGAAAGAAGATACTTCTTTACATGCTTTCTAGAATAAAGATATACTCTTTCTTAAATAGTTATCTATATAATAATAAGATATTTTTATTTAAGTATTTATATATAATTTCTTCTTATAGTTAGGAAAAAACTTTTCGGAGACCCCCCACATTCCCTAGCGGTGACCCCCCACTTAGATGTACGCAGTCGTGACCTGAACTTCGTATCACTAAGCCTATAATGGCAGCTGCCATGGCTCGGAAAACGTTATTCTATGCCAGCAACACACTCCTCTCCGATTTCGCAGCATAGGCCTGCATCACCCATTTGAGTATAGTGAATAGCCCAAATTTGTCACCTACACAAGGCGCTAGATCTCGCTTAATTCGCACTAGCCGAAAGTGTACCTAGCTGGTGGAACACCAGACCATGTAACTGCCTCTATAATAACAACCAACCACTGCAACACCATCTCTGTACATACAGGAAATCTCATAATTGCTCTCCTGACTGAGCGCTTTCGATTGCTCCAATCCGCTTCCAATTTGGATGTTGCATTGTAGTTCTGTAGTGGGTCGAGATAAGTCCACCCATCAGCCCTAGCACCACGTGGGTAGCTGCCACCGTGCCATCTCCAACCAGGCAAGTCTATCTGCTAATGTAGCCGATTAGATGGCGAATACGAGCCCTCCACTTGAGCCTACCCCTGAGGATCCAGAAGCTCCAAGTAACTCTCCGGTTAATAAGGATGCCAATGACAAACCAGATGGTGAATTTATTGAGAAGGAGGACTACAAGGAGGCTGTTGTGGAGCTCAATCGGCAGCTGCAACTACAGGGTTATGCAGTCTCCATTGATGGCTACAAAAAGTATAAGGGAAAGACCACCAAGGACTTGATCAAGGTTGTACATCTCCGCTGCACCCACTCTCGCAAATATACCCAGGAAGGCAAAGGGAAGGCTACACGGATGACCCAGTGTGAATACCGTGCAAGTTTACACCAGTTTGGCCTTATTTGGAAGCTCCACATCTGTAACCCATCTCACAATCATGAGCCTGCAATGAACAGCTACTCATTGCCTCACTTCCGTAAAAGATCTGAGTATAGAGATAGGGTTATTGAAGAGGGTTTCAAAGGCAATATTCCTGTAAAGGAGACCCTCCACCAGTTCCACAATCTTAGAGAAAATACCACTATGAAAGATATATACAACCAGCGGCAGAAGCTTCTTCGTGAGGAGCTTGGCTGCCGCACTAAAGTTCAGGTGCTCCTTGAAACTCTGGATGAATATACCGATGAAGAAGGCATCAAATACTTCCACCAGCATGGGCTTGATGAGCAGAGTCGGCTCTATTGGGTACTGTTTTCACATCCAGTATCTGTTAAGATACTTAAACAGAACCCTGATGTTATTATTATGGACTATACTTACAAAACCAATCATTTCAACATGCTCTTACTTCATATAACTAGAGTAACTGCCTTGAATACTACCTTTGATGTTGGCTATGCCTTCATACCTGGAGAAACAATTGAAGATTATGATGCAGTAATTCATAGCTTCCTTGAGTTTGTATGGGAGTTAGGAGTTACTCCTCGCTGCTTCCTTGTTGATCAAGAAGATGCTCTCATCTCCACACTCAATCACTATTTTGCTGGAGTCCTCATATGCTATTGCATGTGGCATATAAACCAGCATGTTCAGGCTAAAGCTACAAAGTGTGCATGGGATGTACGCCGAGGAGATACAGATGAGGAGAAAAAGGAGATTCAATAGCAGAGAGAGGCCTTCCTTTCATGGTGGTATGGGCTAGTAGAGTGCAAGACTTTTGTTGAATTCTGGGACATGTGGGCAGAGCTTAAGGAGGACTACAAAGCCTATCCAAAGCTCTTCTCCTATCTTGAAGAGTACCAAATATCCTATCAGAAGCACTGGGCCAATTGCTACATAAAAGATTATCCCGACTTTGGAGAGAGGTAAGTTGCTCCTCCATCATTTGCTGTTCATTGGCTAACCAAAACAGTGTAACTTCCCGGGATGAGGGCGCTCACAAATGCCTCAAGGCTAATCTTACGTCATCACTGGGCCATCCATACGATGTTTTGAAGTCCATTCATCATATGCTGGTTACTCAATACAATGAGTATAAGGTAGCAATAGGCATGGCCTATTGTCAGGTCCAAAAGAGATTGAATTTGCCTGAATTTCAAGAACTCCATAACAAAGTAACGCCTGTTGCATTAGACCTCTTAAAAGAGCAGATCTCACTTGCCAAAGGAGATAAATACCAGCCTGGGTGTACTGGCTCATTCACCAAGAAGTACGGTTTGCCCTATTGCCATACTCTCCATCGACGGGCCTACCGATCAGCCAGTGCGGAGATTATAATAACTCTTGAGGAGATAGATCCCCATTGGCACTATTACCTACAGAGAAGCAGCGAGCAAATACTCCCTGCTGTAGTGTCTCAGGATCCTGCAACAGTCAAGGGCAAAGGCCGCCCAAAGAAGCAGAAGATGAGTGCATCCAACTCCCGGCCCTCCACCCTTACTGACAGTCAGAGAGTACCTTCCAGCTTTGAGGTAGTTGCCGAGAGCCAGATCACTGCTACCCAGCGCTCCCATGTCTCTCACACTCCAGGCCATGGCCATAGGGGTGATGGAGGTCAATCTCAGGTTTCTGTCACTGCAAATTCTGCTACCAAACCTGACCGTGGCAACACCGCTAGCCAACCAATTGAGATTGAAGGCTCTGCCCTAGAAGCATCTAGAGATGGCTTACCATCAACTCAGGTGACTGCGATTGTGCTGGGTTATGAGCCCGATGAACTTATAGATCTCTCACAGTTCAGGGAGGAGTTTGCAAGGAGGAGCAATACTACGGGCAACTCTGAGGGCAAGAAGAAGCGTGGAAGGCCTATTGGTTCAAAAGATAAGTAGCCACGCAAGCGCAAGTCAGTTGGCAAGGGCGCTGAGGCGGTAGCTGAGGCAGAGGATGGGGATGTTGGTGTTTGAGTTTGGTGTTCCAACTCGGCTACATTACTGGCTGTGCAGAGTCCCCACAACAGTGAGCTACAGCACCACCAAAAGCGATCAGAAAATTCTGAAACTTGGGGAGATAGTTCTTTTAGTGTAGAACTTTAATTTGAATTAATTACTTTACCTGTACATTGTATGGGGTTGAATTTTGCATGGGTGATGGGGTGAGAGTGGCGATGTTGCCTGAGATGGCTCAGAAGACTGTTCCTTGGCACAGGCCCTGCGATGACTGCCGGTGCTCGGAGTTGGGCCAGTATTTGGCACCTCCGTATATTTGATCACGGCATGTAGTTTGCATACCCGCAGTATTTTTCATCACGACTGTGTACATCTGAGTGGGGGGTCGCCGCTAGGGAATGTGGGGCATCTCCAAAAAGTTTTTTCCTATAGTTATATATCTAGCTGCTCTTAAAAAATCTAAGAAAAATCTCTTGTTGTTGCGTAGATATCTAAGAAAGAGTATCGTTTTGCGCACCTAACGTTCTCGCGAAAACTGAAAACTAGCTGGCCACGTCCCGTGGCCAGCCTGGCCTACTCACCCGCCGCACACAATATAACAGCATAAGCCCTGCCCTAGAATACATACCTCTGCTGTGACCAAACTATCAATTCCCAGTACCTACACCTCAATGCGCCCTATCGGGTAGGCGGCATAGAAATTTTAGATGGTCTCCAAAAAAGGGCCATTTTAGTAGCATATTAGGGTAGAATCAGCCACAAATTGTAGCCAGCGGCCTCCCCATCTAGACTAGAGAGGCATGCTGAATAAGGACCATTTCTGTAGATCGCCTCGCATTCGCGAAGGCTTTCAATTAGTCCGCCATGCGGCGTACCGCTGCCGCCGCAGTAGTCCGCCGGGGACCAGGACTAATCCGAGCACACCTCAGCCGGAGGGTAGGAATAAGACAGTTTGTCCCAGGGTGGCGGTCTTCCAGTTCAGTGTAATATGTTTTTGGGGCCGGGGCCCCTTCGGCTTCGGGGGCGGGGGCGGCATCTTCGACGTCTTCTTCCTCTTCATCGAGGGGGACCGGCGCGGGAGCGGGAGCAGCCTCTTGGACCTCTTCTTCTTCTTCCTCGACGGGGTCGGAGGAGAGTACTATGTAGATGGGACGGGGCGAGGGGGGATGCGGTGGAGATGGATGGATGGATGGATGGACGGGGGGCGAGGGGGAGCGGCCTTTTCCACGTCTTCTTCTTCTTCGTGGGGGATGGGACGGGGACGGCCTCTTGGACGTCGTCTTCTTCTTCATCTTGGTGCTGCAGTTGCAGCTGTTGTTGTTGCTGCTGCTGAGAGTGGGGCCATCATGTATGTTAGCTCAATCTATCCTTTGCCGTCTCATCATCCATCACTGCGCAGGCATGTTTCGTTTCTCATTCATCCTTGTATACTGCATGTTTTCACGTCCGACTGAACACCCCCCTGCACTTCCTCTGTACTGCTATTTTCTACATTAAATTTAAACAGCTAGCAGGGCAGCAGTATAGGAGGTCCTGCAATTAGCTTTGTAGTATGCCTCTACGTATAGTAGTATATTTAGAAAGAGAATTCTACCTTTTGCGTTATTAAGTAGTAGCTAGTTAGCTTGTGCTAGGTAGGTAATTCCACCTACAGAGGAATCGCAGCCGGATATTCAGTCGGACGTGGAAAGCCGCAGTATGAGGAAGCTCAGCCTTAGCTTGACAACTCAAACTCTATCACAAGGCCCAGTATAACCAACTACCAATGGCCCCCTAATCATCCAAAGCACATTATCCGATAATCCCAATAGGACCATCCCCTTCGAAACATCATAACTTAGCCTCCCTCTCCCCCTCCACAACCACCGCCAACATCCCCTCAGCTACCTCATCGCCATCCTCGACCTCCATCACCCATCCTATTCTCCCACTCCTCGGACTCCGCACCTCTAGTTCCATCTTCATCTGCTGCACTACGCAAATGACATCTCCCTCCTTCACCACATCGCCCTCATCCACGAGCACCTCGACCAGCTTGCCCGGAAAGGGAATACAAACGTGTGAGGGATCCGCCGGGTTGCCGTGGCGGTGATGCGACGTCGCCGCCGCAGCGCTGGACGATGTACTTGTGAGAGTGATGGTGTAGGGCGTAGTTTGCGGGCGTGCCGAGCTGCCGCTAGCAGGAGATGTGAATAGCACGTCGGCAGAGATGGAAATGGGGAACTCGTTGCGCAGAACTCGAGTGATTTCTATATGGTGCGGCAGCGGCTTGTGCCCACTGCCGGGCTTCTTGTTTGGCGTATCGAGCGTGAGTGACCAGGCGTCGCCCTTGCGGAACATCGTGTTTACGTTGGTTAGAGAAGGGCCGGAGGAGGAGCCTGTGGTCTCAAGGCCAAGGGCTGAAAGTCTGTTCGTCGTCTGTTCGGTGATTTGTAGGCCGGTGGCGAGAAGCTCGCGCTGGTTAGTCTCTAGCCATTGGGTATCGCACTGTCCGGCGAGGAAGTCTGGATGTGCGACGATGGCGCGGAGAACATCGAGGTTGGTTTTCACCCCCGTGATTGTCGTGTCAGCGAGCGCGCGCTGGGATTTCCGTACGACGTCTTCCCATGAGGAGGCAGTGATGATGAGCTTCGCAATCAAGCTGTCGAAGTCCGCGGAAACAACTGCGGCGTGTCCGTTGATGAGATGGGTATCCACGCGGACCCCGTTCCCCGTAGGGAACTGGAAAGATGTGATTTTCCCGATTGACAGAGACCAGTTGCTCTGCACATTCTCGGCAGTTATGCGGAGCTGAATGGAGTGTGTTGGAGGAGGCACTTCCGGGTTTCTTGCGCTCCGGGGAAGACCACAGTTGGAAACATCTGCTCCTTGGGAGAGGAGGAGTTGGGCTTTGACAATGTCGGTGGAGGCGATGGATTCGGTGATTGTGTGCTCGACTTGCAGACGGGGGTTTATTTCCAGGAAGTAGTACTCCTTCGTGGTCGGGTTGACGAGAAACTCGAATGTGCCCAAGGAGAAATAGGATATCTACGACCTATCAGCATCGTGTCCAACCGTGAGCTTACCGAGAAGAATTCATGTATTCAACTTACATGTCTCGCCATCTTCAACGCATCACCAATCACTCTTCCTATCAGCTTCCTATCCGTCACCACACTCGGCGCCAATTCCACAATCTTCTGATACCGCCTCTGTATACTGCACTCGCGCTCCCAGAGATGCGTGACTCCGCCTTTTCCATCCCCAATAATCTGCACCTCGACATGCCTGAAGCCATCCACGGCGGCCTTCTCGGCGAAAACCTGCTTCGACGGACTCTCCTCGACTGCTCTTTTTACCGCGGCAGGCAGAGAAGCCTCGTCCAGGATGAGACGGATGCCACGGCCGCCTCCACCGTCAATAGCTTTGACCATAATGGGATATCCGGTTTTTGAGGCAAAGTTAAGCACCTCTTCTGCATTGTTGGTGGGATGGTGCAGCGCTGGAGAGACTGGGACATTGCCTGTAGCACAGGTCAACATCAATACTTTCCACGACCATAATGACTTCTTTTTGCATATGGAACACTTACACTCCGCTGCCAAAGCCCTAGCCTTCAACTTATCCCCCGTACTCGCCAACACTCCCCAGCCTGGTCCCAGGACGACCGCGTTCGCCTCCTCCCACATCCTTTTGGCGAACACATCCGACTCGGACAAGAAGCCATATCCCGGGTGCACTGCATCAATCTTATGCTTCTTCACGATATCAATCAGGGAATCGATATCCATGAAAGTCGATGGTGAAGCGAGAGCAATCACGTGATCAGCCCTTGCGGCGTGAGAGGCATCTCCAGAGACGTAGATGGCGTGCGTTTCAATGCCGAGTTCGCGCGCTGAGCAGAGGATGCGGGTTGCGATTTCTCCTCTGGAATAAGTTAGACGGGGTTGATTTTCGTTTTTATGCTCGTTACCAGGCAAGCGTGAGAGGTCAATACCTATTGGCGACGAGGAGACGTTTAATCGGTCGCTGAGGAGGTCGAGACATGTTGGACATTCTTGAAAAGCTCCTCCGACGCTGATATGCCTTTGGACTGTAGCGCTACCAATTGCTATACAGCAAAGATCTGGCTTTCCTCAGAGGCTCGGCAAGATCCTGTACTTGCCGCGGACACAGTTCAATTCTATTCAGACCAAAATATTCTTCGCGAATATCGAAAGAGACCTAAAGAGATGCTATCTCGATATCCTCGGAACACATATTTAGCAGGTGTCATCTTGTACCTGGACCTCCGCATTAGGCTTCGGAGAATTGATTTGCGGGGAAAGGAATATGCCTCGGTTCAGCGCTTCCAACCTTTCCCCAGATCTACACCACGCCCCACTCACCGGTCCCAGCACAATGTGAAAGAGGTCTACTTGCTCCGTGACAGGAGCTCCATTTTCGACTTCGTTGTAACGTGCCATCCTCGTCAAAATGGCAGGCGACTCCAGTTCCTCCTCCGCGCCTGCAAAGGGACCCTCCCAACCCTCCCCCAACACAGCCAAAGACCGCCTCGCCCAAGTCTCCCAGCACATCGCGCCGAACACGCCAAAGCGCAGACGTAAAAAGAGAGCAGAATCCGAACTTCCGGCCGACTACTCCGATATCTTGGGCCAAATCGCGACGCTCCGCCAGATCGCAGCGACGCCGGATCCCAAAAACAGGGGCTACGTTCGGCAGAAGCAGGCTGGGAAGCTGTGGGTGAGGGAGCGTGTGGAACAGTTGCTGGATCCCGGAAGCTTCCAGGAGATTGGAAGCGTGAGTGGGACTGTCAAGTGGAAGCAATTGGGGCCTGTGAAGGAGGAACCCGTGGATTTCGTGCCGTCCAACAATGTGCAAGGTAAGTCAAGGGAATTTACAAGGAATTGAAAGATGGGGTTGACTTCTAAACAGGTTTTGGGAGACTGCGAGGTAGGAAGATTGTGTTCACGGCTGACGACTTCTCGATAAGAGCTGGACATGCGGACGGCGCTTTGATGGAGAAAACGGTTGGTGTACCATTATTATCTGCTCAGGACCCATACTGACACTTGAATCAGCTCTATATCGAGAAGCTTGCCATGGCGCTAAAATTACCCATCGTCAAGCTGGTTGACGGCTCCTCTGGAGGCGGTTCTGTCACCTCAATTCGCACAACTGGCTACTCCTACATTCCCCTTCTCCCATCATTTGCTCAAGTCGTGGAGCAACTGAACCTGGGTATCCCCAATCTAGGCGCTGTCGTAGGACCTGCCATCGGCCTAGGAGCTGCCCGTGTAGTCGCCTGCCACTTCTCCGTCATGGCTGCAGATATTGGCTCCCTGTTCAATGCTGGCCCTAATGTTGTCAAGAACGCAACTTTCGAAGAAGGCCTCTCCCTCACAGACCTCGGAGGGCCCAGCATGCACTGCACGAACGGGACGATCGATAACCTGGCTCCTGATGAGGCAGGGTGTTTCGAGCAGATGCGCACCGTTTTGAGCTACCTTCCGGACTGCGGCACCAAACTCCCACCAACGGTTGAGTGCTCCGACCCTATTGACCGCATATCTGAATCTCTTCGTACAATCATCCCCAGAGCCAAAAACCGGATGTACAACCCCCGCGCCATCATTAGCGAAGTCGTCGACAGCGGCTCCTTTTTCGAAATTGGCGCCCTTTGGGGCACGACAGCCATCGTGGGTCTCGCCCGTTTGGGAGGTCGTCCGGTCGGCATCGTGAGTCTGAATTGCGAGGTGAATGCTGGTGCTCTTGATGCTCTCGGTTCGCAGAAGATCAACCGTATGCTCAAGTTCCTCGATGTCTTCAACATCCCGCTCGTCCAATTCGTCGATATACCCGGCTATGCTATCGGAACAGCTGCTGAACGTAGTGCCACCATGCGTCATGGGGTTACCCTCGCAACAACATATTACAGCACGACTATGCCTATCTTTTCTGTCATTGTGCGCCGTGTCTACGGGGTCGCTGGAGGCGTCATGCTGGACTGCCGTGACCCGCGCATGCGCGTAGCTTGGCCGTCAGGCATGTGGGGATCTCTCCCCTTGGAAGGCGGTATTGAAGTCGGGCACTCGTTTGAGCTCAAAGAGATTGAACGAAAGGAGGGTAAGGCGAAGCGCGACGAGAGATATGCAGAGTTGGAAAATGAGTATCGCCGCTTCATGAACCCGGTGCGGACGGCGAATAATTTTGGTGTGGAGGAGATCATTGATCCGGCGTATACTCGGAGAGTGTGTGCTGAGTGGGTGGCACACGTTTATGAGAGCTTGTTGCCGCAGAGGATCATGGAGAGGGTTGCAGGAAAGCTGAAGCCCAGTTTCGCGTAATACTTGATCACAGCTCAGAAAAAGAAAGCCCGTTCAACCCGACGCATCCGGAATTCTCTCCTGCCCAACCTGATGTTCACGCACAGTTGTGGCAGATCGGAGGACCCAAGAGAGCTGGGAGGAACCTGGTGTTTGTGCGCATGGAATACCGCTAGTGCCGTCATGTAAGTGAAGGAGGTATGACTGGATTCTTGGGCTTTAGAGAGCATGGCTGCGTCATCGACTGAGGCTTTCGACATCCGACTGAACAGATAGAGGTACATAGATAGAACGACCTCACAAATAGCTTTGTGGCGTCTCTATCCAGGTATACCAAGCTTAGAACAAAGCTCCATCCATGGGCTTATTCAACGGCACCCAATCGAGGTTTGCTGACTAGGTGATTTTGCCTGCAGAGGAAGAGCCGAGAGGTGTCCAGTCGGACGTGAAGTTTCGTAGTATGTCCCAGAAGAGCAATATTCCAAAGAAGCTTCAAGAGGCTTGAATAATTCCTCCTCAACAACGACTTGGATATTGCAAGGGCTTGCTAATCTTCCTGTGCCTCTTCAGGGACAGCTGGCCAGAGCGGCTGTGGCCTAGAGGGACGAATGCTTGGATATTTGCTCATGTCCTCCAATGCTCTCCTGTTGATAGGTTTGAGCGATTTAACCTTGGGGTGTTCCAGCACGGCATGAACGACGTGGTGCGGCCAGCTCCATTGTAGCATCTCCGTCAGGCTATCTTCGCTATGCCCAATAGCTGCGCTGAGACTTAAAACGCCAACATTGATACCCATGCTCCCTGTCATATAGACTTCGTTGCAGTCCCGAAGCTGGTCCTGATAGTGAGGCATCAATTGTGCCACTACATCACTCATGTCAAGCTCTGCAGCCCACGCCAAGCAATGGATGCCTTTCTTTTCTAAAGAGTTGATTGGGAGCCTCCCGAACCGATTGAGGTTCAGAGCTTCGAATATCATCTTCATTTTCGTCTTCGATATCGAAATGGGACTATTCCGTAGGCACTGGAACAGCATACCGAGCAACGAGGGGCCCTCGAGCGATACAAAGCTCTGCGAAGCTACAGTCGTCCGTTCCGGTTTTGATCTGTGAAATTCAAAGTTCAGCGCGGTCCCAGTTATGTGCTTCAGCAATACCTCAATGGTACTCAGCGATCCAGATATGGATGTGAAGGCCAGTACCAGCAGCAGCCAAATACACTGTTGACTCATTTCTTTGGGATTTATGTATTTCCAGGCAATAGCCCCCTCGATTTCGGGCAAGTAGACATATAGCGTTTTAAGTAGTGCGATATCGACGAACTGTGGCCAGTCGTTTCCAATATCGATTGAAAAGAAGGTTCCAAAAATAGAGGGAACGGAAAGGGGCCGATGCTGGTGTTGCTGGAAGAAGGAAACGATGGCATGCGACAGCTGTTTAAATGAAGATATACAGGCTTGGCATAGAGTTCTCCAAGTGAGTACATCTAATTTGGATATGGCCAGCCTCATGGCTCCGTTAAAGGCTTTTGAAAGCAGGCCGGATCCAGCAGAGTGACCAAGAGTCTCCAGTTCAGTCTTCAGAAATCTGAGGAACGCAACAGCCCGGGAGTCACTCTGGAATTGGCTGGCAATATTGTAAATATCATCGCACGTCCAAAATGTCCCGTTATCAGACCAGCACGAATGGATGGCTTTGCGACCGACGTGAAGATTGAAACGAAGGGTCAGGAAATCGTCAAAGAGCCAATCTGGATCCACTTTAAGGTCCATAGCTCTTCTATGAATATGAAGTTTGAGCAGTCGGTATGTGTCGATGTTCCAAACAAGCAGTCGTACAAATGACCAGATGCCATGTTGCATCGACCAGGTATACAGGGGCATGACCAGTTCATCTGCTGGAACAATATTAGTGGAACGTGTTAGCTCCCAGGGTCGAAACTGGAATAGCAGGTTGCGATGAAAGGTGAGATGAGCGAATGCTTCCCAGCAGGACAACTCGGGGGTAAAACCTGAAGCATGGAAAGCCCAGTATTCGATGACATAAGGAAGCAGCGAAAACTTGGTGGTGGGGTTTTGTGTTGGTTTGGGGCGTGGGAACTCGTATGTGATATCTTTGACGTTTGTTCCCGAGTCGAATGGATCGTCAGCTCGACCTCGATTCATGATACCCTTGAGGAACGGGGCCAGTGGTACCCCCTTCCAAACGATGCGCTCCGCTTGCCGGCGACCCATTGTCGTTGGTGGAGTGACTTGGATAAGTTGAGTCTCGAGATCGGAGAAATTCAGGTACGCAACGCATATTTCCCCAATATCGGTATCAGCCTCCGCCATATCAAATTTTATTGAGGCGGGAACGGAATCTTCAGGTGAGGAAGAGCTCGAACAAAGGAATTGACGAACGGTAGGGTGAGCAAGTGTTACTGTGTGGTCATCCCGATTATACACCACCAAGTGTCCACAGGCATGGACCAGTTTCTCTCCAGAGCCAGTGACAATGCGTTCTGCCGGCCAGATCTTATCATCCTTCAGTAGTCCAACGGCCTCTTCCAGTTCCTCAATATGTAACGGACGGTACGCGCAACTAACCCATCGCAATACTTTTTTCATGGTTTCTACTTTCATCACTCCGCCTGGACTGTTGTAAATCTTTCGGATGATGCGCGCGTATGTCTCGCATAGGTCTTTGGGTAAGTTATTGATAGTAGTATGAAGTGCCTCTGCCGACAAAGCTTCACAGATATCGTACAATTGGAATTTGACCCATAAGAACCTACATGGGGAGGTTAGTCACTGTGCATCGAGAGTACAGGCCAACTCACATTCCGTTCGCACCATGGAGCAGTGCATCTCTGACTTCCTTATGTAGCTGGAGGTTGCTCAAAATTGGGTTGTGGTTTGCAGCCGAATCAAGGGCACCTTCTATGAAGAGGGAAATATCCGAGGAGACCTGTGGAGAGGAGAGCTTAAATGAATTGTGCGACCTCAATGTCTTTCTTACAAGGTGCTCACCCTCGCGGCATGTGACATACAACCGCACGACTGGGAGACGCTCTTGCACAAGCGATTTTATCAGATCCAGTGTCGAAACTTGGCAATCGTGGCCAAGTTCATCAAGGCCATCCAGCACGATAAAGGCCTGCGGAAATCTCCGCAGTAACTTGACATAGAGCCTGAGCTTTTCGCCCAGTGAAATCGAGGCATAGTCGTCCATCGGAATCTCGGAATCATCCCCGAACTCTGTGAGTGGCAAGTTCGTCAGAACTTGTCTGATGAGGCTGCCCAGTAAATAGTTCATATCCAGAGATCTGACGTCGGCATGGTCGAAATAATAATAACATAGTATTGAACTGGGCTCGTTGATTTGACCCAGCATGTCTACGACGCTCGACGCCAGTACGGACTTCCCTGATCCAGGGATACCATAGCAGCACAGGCAGGTCGATATTGGAGAATTCAGCCACTCCATGTACGGTGTTGATGCCTGGAGCCAGGTGTTGGTGCCTTGGAAACGGAGGTTGGCCAGAGTCTTCTGTTTACTTTGATAGTCAACTACTTGAAGAAGAGACATATACCTGTGCCGTTTGTTGACCATGCCATTCCGTTTCTGCAGGGCGTGGTTGGCTAATTCGATTTCACGACGACGGGCAGATTCTATCATATGGGCAAGGCTGGCTTCCTTCTCCACATGCTTCCGATGCTTGCGAAAGTCAGACATGTACTTGTCAAATTCCTGTCGAAACGGCTTCCAGAGTCCTCTGCATCCGATGGACATAGGGAGCGGCAACTTCTTTCCATGACCGAAGAATTGCTTCGCCTTTACACAGAATCTGAGCACATCCAGGTAGGCCGTCGAGATTGCTTTCAGCAGACGCTCATGATTCCGGAACAGAATCTCATAGATCTGGAAACGAGGCAACGCGTCACCAATAGACGCAAGCATATCCACAATTTTCTCTTGAAACCTTCCAGTCTCTCCAGCAATCTAATCAAAGTCAGTAACACAACATCTTCAATGCGATTTTACGTCAATTCACCTTCAATATAACACGAATACTGCCCCACAGCGGTGATAGAACCAGGGGAAATGCGTTAGCATAGACATCAAGTGCTTTTCCGTACTCTTCGATGGCGTCGACCAAAGAAGAGATTCGCTCCTGCATGGCCCAGCTGTTACTGCCATTTGCATGCCGCTTCTGAGCCGCACTAGTCTGGTAGAATATGTTTTCAAGGGTAGCGGACTCGAAACATTGTTTCTCCTCTGGGGTAAGCTGCTCTAGGAACTGGGCTTTTGCAGTCTCCCATGGCCGAGTCGGGAAAGGAAGGGCGGTAAGTATGGCAGACATGACAATGATGCCCTCAGGTCGCAGGAGAGAGGAATCAAAATACCAATATGCTAGATAGATGTTCCGCTCCTCTCATCTAGCCATCGTCCGAGGGTGTCGTGCAAGAAAGGAGACAAGCTGCTGCAAGGCTGCAATGGCAGAGTCCTGGAGTCTCTGTCAGCCGTAACTTGCCCAGAACAAGCCACCCTCACTGGCACTGCCGCACTGGGGTCGACCAACCACAGCGATGAAATAGCCGAATACGGGTGCATTGGCTCAGAAACTGAACCTCGCCGCATTACAGCAGAGAACAACCTACAATGCCCATGTGAACGCGAAAATTCAGCAGGCTTGTCAAAAAAGATCCGGCAACAGGTACTGATGCTTTTGATCAATAAGAATGGTTCAAAGAGGTAAAATGCAATGTTCGAAAACTCTCCTCATTCTCTCCCACTCCGATCCATTCGCAATAGCCCAATCTCTTGCCTTCCTGATTCCGTCCAAATCCTCCCGCATGTGATTGGCAGACGTCGTTCCATTCAAAACCATTATGTCCAAATCCATAACGAAAGCATACAATGCCGTCGCAGTACCAACGTTTGCGGCTTGCGCGAGTGATGATACCGGCTCGGACCGCAAGAGGTGCGGATTTCCAGTGAGAGTCCAGAACGATTGATAAGAGATGCCCTGCTCTCTGCAAAAGGCGCGGAGAGGTCCATCATATCGGGTCTGAGGGTAAAACCGATTCTGGACAACTGAGGGCTTGATAGTAGAAGATTCTTGTATGGCTTGAAGGACGGGAAGGGTCACATTTGATATGCCGAGCGCCCTAATCCGGTCAGGGACGTACGTTTCCAAGATCTTCCAAGCCTGGATGGTCTGGTTAATGGTGGGAAGCGGCGAGTGAAGGAGGACGCAGTCCAGGTACGAATTCTCATCAGAGTCCTCCTGTGGTCGAAGATTCCTGAGGGACGAGGCTACGGACGTGCGTATCTGTGTCTCCAAGGGCTCTGAAGGATCATATGGCATATTGTTGAGATCCTGGCCGGCCGGGGTGGTGTACTTCGTCTGAACCTAATCTCACTCGTTAGCACCAAATGTTATGACATGGGTCCTAAATTAGGAAGTATATCATGGGAATCGTAGGTTCTGAAGTACATCATGGGCCAAGCATAGCATCGGAGTACGGCAGGTTTCATCTCAAACGCGCACAATCCGAAATCACTCACATAAATATCCCCCCTCTCCCTCACTCCACCACCATCTCCCCTCTTCGACAACCAAGCCCGTATTCCCCTGCCAACCTCCTCTTCCTGATAATGTCTCGGCTGGGCCGCCGTATCCACCGCTCGAAATCCATTCTCCAGCGCCAGCTCAACCAATCCTTTCGTCCTGTCCTTCTTCCATGCCGTCCCGTAAATGAACCTTAGCTCCGTGAACGAGTCGGAAACTAGCACCGAAGACGATGCACTGTGAGCGGACGTCATTCTGCGAGCAAACAATGCTGGTGTAGACCTGCGGGATTTGGAGGGATGCAATGTGTGGAGGAAGATTGATGAAGCTCTCAGAATTTTGGTATTCTGCATTATTTTCATCTACGTCACCCGACACAAATGGAGAAGGAAACATGCATTCGGGGAGGAAGGAGTCCCCATGCGCTGACTAAGCCCCAATTCACAAGCTCACCGCCTTCCGTCCCAAACCGGCTAGCTTAACCCCCACCAAACAGAGGTCGACTACCCCTCCACGACATGATCGCGAACACCTTTCTGGATCACAAACCTCAACGCTCGAAACCCTTGAAAAACCACCATCGCTTTCTCCTCCCACGATCCACCAACCCTCTGATCTCCCCGCCTCCGCAATCATCTTTCTCTTCTCTCAAAAGTCAAACAAATCTTCCTCCCACCATCTCTACTACACCGTCCAAAGACACCTCCAAAAATGCCCCTCCGCCCCTCCCACCCCCGCGACCCCATCGCCGGACCGCCCACCCCATCCTCCCCCTACCCCCTCCGCCTCCGCGGCCCCGTAATAAAAGGCTTCGGCCGCGGCAGCAAAGAGCTCGGCATCCCGACCGCCAACATCCCTATCGAAGGGCTCTCGATAAACGGGTATACGAACCTGGAGAGCGGGATCTACTACGGGTGGGCGAGTCTGGACTACAGTACGATTGAGAAGGAAGAGGAGGTAGAGGGTGAGGGGAACAAGGAGGGGAATGGGGAGGGGAAGGAGATGGGGGAGGAGCAGAAGAAGAGTTCGAACCACGCAGTCGCGGATCTAGAGTCCTCGACCGCGAGTCCCGAGGACGACGAGTTGATTTTTAAGACGGAGAGCGGGACGGTGGTGTATCCGACTGTGTTATCGATAGGTACGTATGCTTTCTCTCCCTCCGCCGACCGAAATCCGCACACCCCCACTAACACCCCAAGGATACAACCCCTACTACTCAAACCAACACCGCAGCATCGAGCTGCACCTCCTGGCCCGCTTCCCCCGCGACTTCTACGGCGCCACCCTCTCGCTCCTGATCCTCGGCTACATACGCCCAGAGTACGACTACGTCTCCATGGAGGCCCTCGTCGACGACATTCGCGAGGACATTCGCGTGGCGCGGCGCAGTCTGAATCGCGAGGCGTATCTGAGGTATCGGGGGGAGGACTGGTTGGAGGGGAAGGGTGGGGATGGGGAGGCGCATAAGAGGAGTTTGCAAGGGGTGGGGCAAAAGGATGCCGTGGGGATCAGTCAGATGGACCCGTAGCGGAGGATGGAGTGATGGAATCAATCGCACTGGTGGCGTTGAATCGCTGAAGGTCGCATATACCGTATACCATATCATAGACATCACCATCCACATAGACGCAAGACAGATGAAAAAAGTAGAAACCATTTGCATAGCAACGTATATTTTTATCTCGCTCTCTTCTCCACAGCACAGTCCTCAGACCGGCTATCTGACTCTCGCTGAAGATCCATTATCAACCACCAATGCATATGCGAACCCGAGCCCATACCTGTTTACCCAAACAGGACTTTTTCCAGTCCACCCTATTGATATCCCCGATACGCCATTAACCCCCCAACACCCATTCACCTGAATATCTCGTGCGGAAAAGGCCATTATTAGAGATTACCCAGACACAGTACCGTCCACGACTAGGAACTGATCCCTCGCTACGCTCATGCCATGCTCCACACGCTTGAAAAGGAGCAGATAGCCACCCGCTAGAGGTATACATGCCGCACGAATTTTATCCCGGCAATCGTGTATGCATAAGAGAGAGCCAAAGGGATCGCCGAGTGCGACAACCTAAAGCTCATGCCAACCGGAAGTGATGACGGAACGCGCCATGCAAACGACCTACACTTCTGTTCCCGGGCTGAAAAAGCGAAGTTCAGGTACGCGCAATGCAGAACCGTCGAAAGGAATAACCAAAGGACAGAAAGCACTTTTCGCTGCTCAAACCGCCGGGACGCTGAGACTATATTAAGGTCGTGACGGTCGTTGCAAGGATTCCGCTGTAAAAGCATGCTCGATGATATGTGCCTTCTTTCGCACGCGTAACAGGATTGCAGGGACATAGACGACCGCACCTCCTATCGGTCTGCAAAGCTCCTCACAGGCTGTGAGTCCAGCACGGGCATTACCTGCATCGTTGATCAGCACGTGCAAATCCAAGGTCAAACTCTAAAACTTACATGCATGCAAACAAGCATGGGCATGTCGAAATTATCCCTCTTCACATGCCATTGTATCATACAGTCGACAAGGCCATTCTTGCTGAGCCGGCTCATTGCCGTCTCCCCCTGCGGCACGGCCCCACCGTCCAGCTTGATCAGCGGCGAATCCGACTTCAGGTTGTGCTTGCGATTGGTTGTTCCAGTCTGGGCGTCTTGCTCACTTCGGACGACCTCCTCCTTGGTCATGTATCGCAAGAAGTTCACTCTGCGCCTCGGGGTGCCGCGGGAATTCATAAACGCTGCCTCGGCAAAGTCGTCGAGGTACTCGACCGCCGAGCGCTCATCCATCAGCTCCACTATCAGCACGGGATAGTTGCCGCCTTGTCCATTGGAGCTGGGAGCGATGACGGGCGTGGTTGTTGTGCCCGTGGTCACGGTAGAGTTGGGGTCGCCCATTACACCAGTATTGACGTTCAGATTGGGTTGTCTGCCCAAGAGCACGTCGCGCTCCCATCCCGTAAGAATGCTGAACTCCTTGTTCATCCAAACCACTTCACCAGAACGTCTGCACACCACCGATGGCACGCCAACCTCCGAAAAGGACTCATCAATCTGGCTGAGCGAAAGCTGCAGCGCAATCTCCTGGTAGATCAAGTCTTCGCGCTGCAAGCCTCCAGCCTGTGTGATGAGGGCAGGGCGGTATTTGGCCATGGACTTCCGGATTTTCTCGACTGAAGATTTCGGGTAACGCCGCTCGATGAGTGCGCGTAGACGGTGAAAAGCACCGACATAGTCGTACGGCTCCTTTATGCCTTCATAGATCCACTTTGTGTCGCGGCGTCGCTTGCGAATCACGTTCGGATGGAGGGGCTGCAGCGCGGTTCCCGGACCGCGATTTTCTTGCTGTGGCATCCGGCTCGCCCTGGCCGACGGCTGGTGAACTTGATGCTGTCCTGGATTTTGGTAGAAGTTAGTTCCGGCCATGGTATTGTCCGTTTCATACGCGGCGTTGACATCGGTCGATGCCGGACTTGCGCTAGATAGACTGGCCGGACCTTGCCCAATGGCAAAAGCGTGGCCGTGCAGGCTATCATGTCGATGCGCCATGTGATCGAGATTCGCGCTGATCGGAGTGTTGTTCGGTGTCTGGATCTGCTGTATACTACCGTGTCTGGACTGGGCGTTCTGCCATTCAATGCTGTTCCCATCATATGCGACCGCAGCCCCCATAACGGCATCGCCGAATGGCATTTGTTGATTATACATGCCGGCCTGATTCATGGCGGTCATGATGTTCTTATCACCCACGACGTCGGCAACGCCAGACGACATATGGCCGAGCATACCCATCTCCATGGCACCATAGTGGTTTCCGAAGTTCAGGCTGGATATATCGAAGTTGAACAGCGCAGGATCACTGGGGTCGAACAAAGGTCCTCCAAACTGTTGCATGGCGTTCGGCGCTCCTTGGGAGACGGTGCTGGGAATGTTCGCAACGGGAGTCTGTTGGTTCTGATTGAACGGAGGAGATATCGGAGGGGGCGCATTGCTGAATTGCCCAACGGGCGACGCATCCTGGGCAGACACTGGACCCGGCGCCTGGCTCGGGTTCCGCGCATAGAAGCTAGTGGGTGAGGGTTGATTGAAGAAGCCGGTCTGTCTTTGAAGAGACACATTCCCTAGGTCGTGGACTGGTAAGCCATTAGGGGGGTTTCCATTGAGTTGAGGATAATTCCCGCGCAATTGCGGAGGTTGAAGCGCAGCATCCGGCGCATCATGAAGGTACTTGGCCTTCTTGCGCACGCCGTCGACGCAAGTATCTGAAAGGCCACGATCGATACATCTTCCACAAGGGCGCTCGTCGCCTGAGGTCATATTAGCGGTCATGCGCCCAGGAGAGGCGAGAGAGGGAAAAAGGGGTGATGCGCAAACCGAAGGATAACTAGAAAATATGGCCTAGGGACACCTACTACAAGTGAGATGAGCCCTCTGACAAGCTAAGCATGCCCTCCTCGCTTTCTTTCTGCGCGGTCTGAAGGGGTCTTTGGCATTGGCGGCGGAAGGCTTCTGGCCGGTTGTAGCTTTTCTGGACTGCTCAGCATCGTCGGCTTGCGCTTCTGCCCTTTCTTCGGCCATGTCGCTACCGTCTTGATCACCGCTGTATTCCGGCGAGGGAGATGCATCTTCGGCGCCTGGGGTGGACATAATAACCCCTCTGCAACACACAGCTCCGCACGCCTAGGGGCACGGATGCTGTTGAAGTCGGCCAAGCTCCAGACGCACGTTTGATGTGGGTACAGCCGTCAATGCTGCGTCTGTCGAGTCCCAGGTGTCTGGGCCAACCAATGCAATCTGAATGGAGGGTGAGAGGCGTCCCAGCCTGCGTGTTTCGAGAGAGGGATCACGCGTGCGCTGGCTGAGAGGACCGGCGCTGCAGTGACACTGAAGGCGCTTGGGGCAGATCCAATTGACGGTGACGGCCGGCACGGACAGAGCCCGAGGGTCGGTGGCGCCGTCCTTTGCGTCGAATGCCTATAACCCGGTGCGCAGGTATGGAATTGAGCTGTCGTAGTACGGGGCCAGGGGGCCATGTACTCGCTGAGGGAGAGAAGAGCGGACCAGCGCGCATACGCTCATCATGGGAAGCGCAAGAGGTTTTACAGACGGGAGCTGTCCATACTGCTGCAGAGGGCGGGACGTAAGGCTGCCGGGGAGGAGCGACTGGGAAACGCGGAAAGGAGAGGACGAGAGGGGACGGGGAAAGCGGCGCCTCACGGGACGGCTCGACGGCGGACAAGAGGCGGCGGTGGAGGTGGCGAGTGAGAAGCGACGAGTGGGGGAGTGACAGGCGCGTGGGCAAAGAGGTCGGAGGACGGTGGGAAGGATTTCGGGGTGCTGTTGTGGGACGACGCTTGCTGGCAGGTGGTGTTTTGTGTGGCAGAGAGCCAAAGGCCGAGGCAGGTGAATAGGACAAAAACCGACGGGGGTGTGTACAGTAGAGGAAACAGTTCCTAAACCGGGCCGACGTGGGGAATGGGGCTTGGAGCTGGGAGCTGGAAGCTTGGTGGGGAACACTGGGCGGGCGCGATGCGAGATCTACGAGATTCAAGCGGCGATGGGTGCTGAGACGAGCCTCAGGAGGCTTTTTCTCCGTGGGCGATATTGCATTCGGCGGGTAGTGGTGAAGGAAAGCGTGCGGGAGTGCAAAGGGTGAATGTCCCCGCATCGAGGTCATTTTTGGGTAGGGGACAAACCCCTGCGAGGCCGAGGACGCCATCTGATTGGCTTCATTCTTGTCCGATTGCCGAGGTCTTACCGAAGGAGAGCGCCAAGGAACGACTTCAAAGAACCATCTCCAACTATGTATCTATCTACATACAAAATACCCAGAACGATCCTCATCACTCTCAGACGGATGCACCCTCATCCCCTTCCCACGCTTGGAGCCGCAATATACGCCGCATGCTTCGTCTTGTGACGATCAATGCTTAAACGACCAGCCTGCTATACTGTGATAGATGCTCGTGCCCGTCACCAACTGTTTCTTTCGCCATCTCCATCCCTGTTGGGCATCAGTCCCCCTTTCTCTCGATCCACTGACACTTTCGCCCTCATCCACCCCTTTGCGCAGTCCGTACCCGTGATGCTGCAGCCGGAGGGTCATATCCAAACAGTGCTGCGTCGCAGCAGGGCGATTGGCACGCCGCCTGCGTCGAGGCTTGCATGCAATATGTGATCTATGCAGCAGTTCTGGGCCCCATTTCTCCAGTGGCTTTCGAACCTCTGCCATCGCATCTCATCCGCCCTCGTGCGACCGAGGGTCGTCATATCGATGACCAGCCGTAGAATCCAGCGATCCTGTGTCTCCTCGACTAATGGCCCTCGTTACCTCCGCCCATGAATCTCGCGGTCGGCCCCCTTCAGTCGAGCCCGCCGTGTCGTCTCTGGCCGGCCCTGTCCAAATGCTCGTCCCTGTGTTGCCCTGTGTAGCCTCGTCCCTCCACCTGTACGCTCCCATCCGTCGAGCTGGCGTGGCTCTCTCGTGGCGCTCTCGTCACGTCGCACAAGGGTCCGGCCGTCTTGGAAACCCTTCTCAAGTAGCATCACGTGTGGGGGACTTGAAAATCTCTTGCTGGAATCAATAAACGCTTTGTTGGAATGCAGATGCCGTGTTACCCTCCTCTATAATTAGCTGCGCTTTCCTCCATTCCACTCCACTCCTTTCGCTAACCCTGCCCTCCCCCTGTATCATCCCGTTGCAAATCGACTACTACCCCTGAGCTTCTTGCCGTAGCGGTAGAAAAGGATGGGAAATCTGTGACACGGCCAATGTTAGCATCCACCATTGACCATCCTGCCGGGAATCTCTTACGGCGCCATTGCCAGTGCTATGAAGGCCAATACAGTCGTTGCCCACTGGTAACCCAGATCTTTTCCTAATCAGTGACCGCCTTTTCTGCCTTCTCTCCTCAGGAGCAACTTACTGGTATACATCTGGACACCGAAGAGCTGCCCCTATCAGTGACCGAGGTTTCTGTCCCATGACTCTCGAGACTTACAGGAAACGCCGCTGCAAATGAAGAGCGGGCAAACGAGTTGGCTGCCAGAGCCGACGCTGCATACTGCGGGTACTAGGCGCATGTCAGGACATGTCGGCGGCCTCATCACCAGCCTGTCCGATATCGGTCAAACTCACACATTCAACTTTACAGCTTACGGTCAGCCTCAATGTCACCCCATGCGTTAGTCTGCTCGACCATACCTAGAAACGTGAAGACCCCAGAGTATACCCAGATGACGCTACACGTAGGATTGGCGGTCAGCCGTCAGTCCATCTATACTCGAAAGGAGTGTCGTACCCAATTCCAAAGATGCCCGAGAAGACAATCGGTACTACAGATGATCAGCTATGATTACAATACGGCAAGATGGGGTCAGGGGTCAGCTGTCATACCTATCCAATGCACCTACGGGGACCAGGTTATCAACTTAACACTACAATCCTGGGCGCAATACTCACGAAGGAAAACGTGGTCCACCCAAATCCTGCGTACTTTGTCAGTGGTCGCCCTACATGTCAGGGCCTCTGTCACTCCTCACCAAACAATGCAAGCGGTACTATAATAGCTCCAACAATGGTCGATGGGAGCCGGAACTCTGGCTCTGAGCGGACCTCCCCCCCTTGCGCCGTATGCGCCTGCACGAGGTTGTCGTAATACCTACGCCAGATGGGATCGCAGGAGACACCCGCCAGCATTCCCACAAATAGTCCTGCCAATCAATTAAATTCGCTTATCGACGTGATGTCTTGATCAAAAGTAATCTCACCGAGGAAGCTTAAGCCTGTCTGCGAAACTGAAAACCCGTGGTTGTGCTGGAACACCAAAGGGAAAGCTCCGAAGAACAAGTAGAGAATGCCCAACAAGATCGACGAAAGTATGCACAGGTTGAGACACTGTTGATCGCTCAGTAACCAGTCAATTGTGTGATACGCTCGACAATCATACCATTGGCTCGAAGATAAGCAGCTGGAACGGGCGCAAGCAGGACCAGGCTATTGTTTTGGGGATAGACCTGGACATCTTCTCAATGGGTGCTACCCAATTCTGATTACCGGTTTCTTCCCTGAGCCGAATGGCTTTGTTTCGCTAGGTTTTGTCAGCAGCGGAATTAGGTAGTGCTCCCAGGACGCGTACAAGCAGCACCGGATGGTAAGTCTCCGGTACCAGCGCCACGATCAGCGCGAGCTAGGCATGGTTAGCTGAGACATTTTGGCTTGTTCCCTTTGTCTATCTTACTTGGGCGCCGGACCAGATGAGGAGGACGTAGAAGCACCTGTATGAGGTTAGCATTCCTGCACATCTTTACGGTCCATTCCCACCGCTGGTCCACAGCTAATGCCGTATTGGCCATAGTCTGCTTTAGCGCAGACGGTGAGGTAGTTCCCAGCTGTGTCATAGGGAATAGGAGTCTCTCACCAGCGCCAACTTGTGTTTTCCACTATGAACCCACCAACGAGAGGTCCTATCTCTGGCCTGGCTACCATTAGCCTACGATTCACATGTACGTCACGAGATGGGTTCTCACCCTACGAAAGGCGATGCTGTATACACCATCATTGGAAACGACAGCTCCTATATGATATTAGTACCGCGCAACGAGTTCATCGCAACCTTGACAACTGACATGCTTCGCAAACATATCTCCGACTGTGCCGCCAGCGACGCTCAAAAACGCACTTCCAGCAAGGCCATCCAGGAAGCGGGCGACAAGCATGGTCTGGATGTTTTGTGCTACCGCACACGGTATCATCCAGATGAGGAAGAAGGTGAATGAGCAGATGTAGATTGGCCGCCGACCGTAGAACTAACAAGAGTCATCAGCCAATGCCCAGAGTCGCGGGTCCAAATGATGTCTGCGACACTCACTTCAGACAGAGGACTGAGTATCATTGGCCCAGTCCCCAAGCCAGCAACGAAGAGACTGAGCCCGAGCGTGCATATGAGCCGGGAAGTGTTGAACTCAGGGCCCATCTGGCCGTAGGTACTTGTGTACAGTGACGACGTGCAAGTACTGTACCCTCAAACTATCAATTTCATGCATCTTCAAGGTACACGATGACTTACACGCAAAATGAACTGGAACTGACGATGAGAACTATGATCCAACGTCGTAGTTTAGTCATGCTTCGTGGGTTCAGCGGGTCGGAATCGCCGTCCCACGTCACGAGAAATGTTTCTTCGTCGGTAAAACGGTTCGAGGCGTTAGGGTCCGCATCCTGCTCCTGGAAGTAGGTATAGCCATCGCTGGCGGCATATGATCGATGCGACGGAATCGTACGGAGACTCCTGGTCTGTGGCGCCCTTGCGACGTCGGACTGCTCTCCATCTTCTGTATCTCCGTCTTTTTCACTTTGGTTTCCAGTATGATCGAACCCAATCTCACGCTCTTCCTCCGTGTCGTCCTTGTCCAGCTCCCTTCTTTTGTCTGCTTCAGCGGGTTTAGCGTGGTTCTTTCGGTCCCTCACGGTGCTCTCACTTCGTCGAGTTGCTTCACTCTGCATCGTGCCAGGCCAAAAGTTTTCTTGCCGACATCAAAGAGGCTGGAAACGTTCCGTTTTAACAATGCAGACGTCAGGATAGGATTGACCCTACCCGGGATTAACGAGCACACTACTCCAGAGTTGGTATGAACCCTACAGGCCTTCTGCTTATCAAGCAATTGTAAGGTGCAACGCAATGGACCCCACACCAAGGGTTGTGACTGTCGAAATGACTTAAAAGACCAAAAGGTATTCGAAGAATCGTGAACGACAAATCGCCCACATCATGGCTGGAACTCAGCTACTTACATCGAATTCAAGGGTCAAAATTTCCCCGACCGGCACTGCGCCGACGGCAAATGATGAGACGTACTTTAACGAATCCGGAAGCGATTCGGTGAAGCTTTGCCGAAGCCAACTGATGACTCTTCCATCTCGCCCATGGCAAACGTCGCTTTGCCGCATTTCGGATTGCTGAGTAATAACTCCCGTGTTGCCCAGGTAAGTTCACGAGACCCCTTTATTTCCGTTTTCTCAAATCCGTGTTCGGATGACGTCAGTTGCTCTCAGTTATCGCAAAACCATTGAGGATTCAGGCGCAGTGTCGAAGTGCTCTCTCGGGTGTTATTCATTTTTTTGGTCGCCGTGATGATCCAGAGAGGCGCGATGCATTGCAGCGGGATGGCCTGTGTGCACAAATCGTCCTCGAAACATCGCAAACATGTATTAAGCCCCTTGGAGCTGACAGATCCCCCTCAAAAGCTACACCGCCAGGTTCTGGGAAGTGGTAAGCAGCAGCCCGTCCGAAACTCGCTCAACAAGACATGGCCTGGTACCAAAGTACTCACAATCCGCTATTGCTGAGTTGTGCGTGTTCACCGTTCGCACAATATATCTCTGCACGGACATTGTCAAGGCTGCACGTGTGCATTTGAGCATAAGCGTAAGACCTTCCATTGGAAGAGTAATGGAGGAGAAAGGGAGGGGAAAGGGAGGGGAAACGGGAGAGAGACGGGAAATCTCGACGCCTTGAGAAATTTTGCAGTGTGCGCAAGGCGGAACACCGAAAGGGGAAGGGACATGGAGGAGGAAAGCGCGAGGGAGTATGCCCCGGGCCTGATCATGATGAATCAGTTCACCTAGCTTGCTACCTCCGTGACAAAAGGAACTCATGGCGCTTCTCGCCCAGGTGTTGCTTCTCGCTCAGATGAAGCGGGAGAAGAACTGCGCGCACGGCCAACTGAACTGCTTCCGGATGGACCCTCAACATCGTCCACCGCTATCCAATACTCATCCAACGCAATCTGATCATGGTCTGTAAGAAACTTCACGAGTCCCCTCGAAGGTTCTTTCGGGAGCAGGCCGCGCCGCGCGAAGGGGGGTATGACAACCGTATTTGCTTCCTCGATGCAGTCTACGATGCCGGCATCAACCAAACTTTGTGATATTGACAACAGCACAGTGTTGGCCATGAGTTTTCCGGGGTATCGATACCGGATATCCCTACGGTTCTTCGGTTCCGACGTTTGGGCAAATTCGGAAGAGAAGTCATAGGTGTCCCCGCCGATTTGCGTGATTTGGCTTGCAATCGACTCGAGGAATCCGGAGAAGAGCTCTAGAGCGCATTGTACAGGCATCTCATTTTCAGATACGACAGCACAACACTCTGCTTGGATTGCTTCTGTGTCAGGTTTGCCTTTGTGGTACGCGTTATTACCGGGCATGAATCCACTCATATGCGGCAGTCGTGAAGGCGCTGAAAGCTTCTCTGATGGCTGGCGGCTCGCTTCCCACTCACTGGTGATCGTTAGTCAGATCAACTGGAGACACACTGCACTTACTATATGGCGAGTGGAGATAATCCAAATACTGGCCATGAAGGAGCCTCTAAGGGAATTTGATAATCTTCTTGACCGTCTGGCTTGGGGCACAATAGCAGTGTCTTCCCGATCCATGACGGCAGTGACCGCAGACATCCAAGTTCAAAATCACTGCAGTGGCCTATGAAACGTACATACGCGTTCCTGTTGGAAACAAGTCCCTCACTATCGTGACGTATGCCATCTTTGCCGCACTGCTCCCACGTTTCAAGCCAAAGACGGATAATTGAATAGAACCTCGGGGGAGCTTCGATCCGAAAAGTGTCCACCGAATCATAGAGCGAGAACTGTAACTCTCGAGGGCCCAACTTGCCGGACAAGTCGCTCTGAACTGTAACGTGCGACCACTTCATTTCCCGCCATTTCGGAAGTTCGCACAACGTTCGCGTTTTATAGCTTACAGTCAACCAAACAATGGTTAGTTCCATCGCGGTTGCGATGCGGTTGGCAAGTGTGACTAGCGGATTATCGTCCGGCATCACCCGTTGCAATTGGGAAAAGATATCCGGCAATTTATCCCTCTCTTCCTGCTCCTGGATTTCCGCGAGAATGTCTGACGTAGAAAGAGGAGCTTCGAGCGTTCCATACCGATTGTCGTTTGCCCAGCGATACGTGAAGTACAAATGGTCTGCATATGGACTGTAGCGCAAACCAAATCCTCCTGTTAGTAGCTCCCACATGTGATCTGCCACGATAAATTCCGCCGCCACCCCTTCAAATATGCGAAAGCGAAAATCACGATCCTTGTTCGCCGGGATGATGCCTCGATCCAGAAACTTTGCAGTCCATATCAATTCTTTCCCCGGTTCCAGCTTGATGAACGGCGGATTGGCCGCGAGGCCGCGTCGGACCCAAGAACGTACTCCCGTCATTATCATGGTGACACCGAGCTGTATAACGGTGGCTGACCAGTGAAGCCCCCTTAGGCCAACGAACTGACAGACGAACCCGGCGACCGTCAATAAGCTAGCACTGGCGGCGAGCTTACTCTTGCTTAGAGCAAGTACGAAGTTACCGGGGACGAAGTGCCAGATGATATGTGGGTTTCTGAACAACCTCGACGTGCGAATTCGATTATTGTCGGCTTCGTTGAAGATGAGAAAAGGTGGGAAGGTTTGATCGCTGCCCACGAAAGACTTCTGTAGGCGCATTATGGACGCAATGTGTTCGCTAGAGTCTTGACGTGGCTCGAACGTGATCTCTTGGGTGACTTCTTCAATAACATGAGAGCATAGCATCGTGCCCAGTATAACTGCGAGGGAGCCTGCCAGGAAGCAAGGATAAGCATAGCCTTGAATGGATGAGGACCCTTTGGGCCATGACCAGTAGTAGGTAGCCAAGGCAGGGACAATAAGAGCGGTCGATTGCAATAAAATGCCGACAGCTGCAAAGCACCATAGCTCCAAAGGCGGCGAGGTGGATCCTTCAATATTGAGTGCAATGTTGGGAGACTGGGATGTAATCTGGTCCCGTTTCTCTTCGGACAGTTCGTGGCGTCCGGCGCTCAGAACATGGCCAGCCAAAGCACCTTTCAAATCAGTGACCTTGTCGACTTCTGATTTCGTGCGCCCATAAAAGACAAGCTCTTTGATCTGTGGCTTTCCAAATTGTCGTACGACCTCTTGGCCACTCCACAATTCGCATACATCTGCACTTGTCGAGGAAAGGAGTTCTCGTTCAGCCGTTGCCAGACCCTCCCTCGCACTGTTGAGATTAGGAATCGTGCGTCACAGGCGATCAATGCTTAGCTGTACCTACCGACCCACAAGCGCTTTCAACCTCCTCACACCACCAACCCTGATAGCACTAATGACGGTCGTGATGATACCCAGAGGGCCCATGGCCAGGAGCACGTTATCGGCCCATCCTAGAGATAAGGACAGGAACTGTTTGGTAACCTGACAGAGGGGATTGAGAAATCAGAAACGTCCTGGTTTGTGACGTCGGGTAGAGCTATTACCTGCTCTCCAAACAGGGTGAGGAGTGGAGCCAAATCGCTGAAGAGGTTGTTGGAAAACTCGTCTCCTTCGAAGCCATTCGTTGCCGTAGCTGCAGTCGACGCTGAGCCATTGACAGGAGCCATTTCTGCGTGAATATGACCCTTCTGATGTGAGGTCTGGGTATAGGAAAGAAGGTGAGGCTGACTGTTCGGCAAGGCTCGTATCTATCTGGTCCGGGGTGGCTGAGTGGCTGGATAACCGCCTCTTTTCACACGCAGCTAAACATGACCTTGCAGTTACCGTCTAGGTTAGATTACTAAAGGGCTTGCTTTTTTGATAAGTAGAATCGTGATTTACGTAAATTCGCGTTGGAGACCAAATAACATAGCCGCAGGCTTAAGGATACCTATAGCAAGGTATACAAGTAACGGGTAACAGAACTGGATTCTAACGTAGTAGTGGAGGCTCAACGCAGGTTTGGAGAAAACTTTCACGCCAGCGCCTGGCTAAGTAAAGCTATGACAAGTCGAGTCAATGCAGTGATGTGGGCGATGAAAAGTCCTTCCCCTCGTTTTCTCGCGGAACACCTAGAAAATTACCTAGATAACGTTGTGAAAGAGCAGCGAAGGATGGGTACATTGGAACTACAAGAAAAGAATTGAATTGGAGACGCGAATTAGTGGATGGTAACAGTATATGGAAAATAATGGAGGTAGGAGTCAGATGTGGTTTAACTATTCATTAGAGGACGATTGGTATGCTTGCATCCGGATCCCATTCCTGCTCCCATACTGCCAGCTCTAGAACTCTCTCCAACTCCTCCTGAAATTCAAATTGATCGACTCGTGATGAAAGTTTGACTAGCTCTTCAAAACGAGACTTATTGACGAGTGATAGATCGTGTAGCTGGCTCAGAGCCAGTAGAAAATCATCGTCATGTCTCCATGAGAATGAGAAGAAACGCTTGAGAATGTCCAAAGCCACTTCACAATTCGACTCATTTTTCTCCCAGAAATCAGCGAGAAGAACTTGCAAACTCCTTGGATAGGCTTTCCATTCAGGGAACTTACTTTTCCATCCGGAAGGGGAGGGAGAACCATGTGAGCTGCGACGTCGGCGGTTTGGTGAAGGTGTGTCCTTTCCCTTTGACTTATCGCTCTTGGGTCTGTACCGTCCCTCAGTGTGGTCCTCGTCCGACCTATACTCCTTTGCTCGACCATTCTTTCCGAGTGACCCCGCTTTGTCGGGTCTTTGCTGATGAGATGAGGAACGTTGTCCCTGGGTGTCTTCTCTTTTTTCTGCTTCGTCCTCACTGTATTCAGATTCCGCTGTGTATCCCTCCTCCTCCTCCTCACTGTTGTCACTTTCCACCGTGGAATCCGTGAAATCCTCCTCGTCCTCCTCAGTGATGTCATCTTCCCCTGTGGATGAAGGTTCATATGTAGCATCACTACTGTCTCCTTCTTCTTCACGTTCATCTTCGCGTCCTTCACTATCTCGCTTTTCTTCCTTGTTAGAATGGTTCTTTCCAAAGCTATCTTTGCGTGTACGAATAGGTAAGGAATGTATGTGCCCCTGTCGATGAGATGATCCAGGAGAGCTTTTCCTTCGAGTTTCAACTGCGTGCGTTTTGGGACTTGGGGATGTGGCATGCTTTCTTTCTCTTGTTGGTTCACAAGAGGCAGCTCTCCTCGTTTGGGAAGGTAAAACAGCGCCCGGCGGGATACAAGGCTGTGGGGGGTGAGCAGCCCGAACCATGCGGATCCATCTCCAGATCTCCGGCGTGACACGGTGGTACACCCACTCTTGCATGTTCTCTATCACCATGCGCAGTGCCATTGCGCCCCATGTCAGTTCCAGAGATGTCGCCCATATGCATCGCATCAGGGTTATTGTCTCCGCCTTGCTGCTGTCAGTGATAATGTGTGCGTGCTGATAGATATCCAGAACCTTACCTTGCTTTTGATCTTGTGAGTGACCCAAAGTTTAACAGTGGGACCAACGCAAGTGAAAGCGAATATAGCAAGACCATCATGAGTATTCGGACAATCTTTGGCAAGCTCCATCAGATCTTCACGCAGCTTAAGCGCTGCGGCAGACGCGTTTGCGGCTTGACAATAGCAGAACTCCCCAGCTGCCCGATGATCCTTCATGTTTGGCTCATTCTTCTTAGCCTCGACGATGGCCCAAGGAAAACAAAGTAAGTCTGCATTACCCAGTTGCAGATTTTTCTTTGTTTGCGAGCTATGAAGTTTTGTCGTAGGCGCGGAACGTAGCTCGACCTTTTTGTTCGTCCGCAGTTCACCGAGCACTTCAAGGGAGAAATCGTTGACTTTTGGATCAGATACATACGGCGCAGTTATCTTGGTGGTATCCAGAATAGGGAACGCGTAGGTGAGGTCGGGCTTCGGACCTGTTAATGGGGGGCCGTCATGTGGTATTGCATCACCATATCTCTTGGACTCGTTCCAATAAAGATCTTGCTGTCTGCAAAGTATCAGCCCGAGATCTCACCAGTTACAAGGGTAACCAACAATTCCCATCGCTGAAGTGGGTGTCTGTTTCCATTAGCTTACACACGCCCTTTCTCTGTGAGGAACTTACACATCGGAGTTTGAAGTATCATGTATGTCGTCAAACGTTTTGAAAAAGTTGGACCGCAAAAATAGCATCCAGGTCGATTCAGGCTCGTTTCCACTACGCAAACGCTTTGCCTGTTGCGCGATTTTTTGACAAGCGCGGATTTCTTCCTCGATCTTCTCGATCAACGTGTTCTTTACGAACCGGTTTTCCTCATAATATACAGATTCCAAATCGCTCGTTGGCGGCTTCAGGCTCCAGTGATTTCGGCGAGCTTCGTCACGGTCTTGCCCTGACTTCTGGAAGTTTTCGAGCTCTTGGGCAAACAGAGGTTCGGCATCTTTGGGTAACCTTTTTTGTCGCAAGCGTATCAGCTGATCCCTAATTGGCACGATGAAATTGGAACTGTCCAAATCCAGAAGCTTCCTGGCCTCATAACGGATATTACTGGCGTAAAGCGTCCCTACGCTCAATTTGGGTTTCGATTTCGGCGGCGATTGCTGCGACATTCTCAAGCGATACCGTAGACAAGATATTCAAAATGTTTGGCTTCTACATGTTTCCCAGGACGTTGAGTCGTTCAAATAACCGGCTGCCTGCACCGCCAAACGCAAGAAACGCAAGGTTGCGGCACAGTGCATGTCGTCAGAAGTCTGATACGAACCAGGCGAAGCACCTGCCCATTTTGGTCCTTCTGTTTTCTATTCAGCAGGAAGATAATAATATGTATGTAGTGATATCCCCTAATCGCGCATCAGTTCACCACGGGGTTACCGTGCACGCGTTTCATAGATGCATGCATCTGGTCTGCAGCAAGGGTGAAACACTTTACCAGCCTTCACAATCAGGCGGAAACCTGTGTAACCATACTTTACAGTTGAATAGCAGCTCACTGCGCTACAAACAGGGCTTTCCACGTATCTTATGGCAGTAATCGGGCAGGCTTGGTGCCATCACGGATGAGTAAACCCGAGCCTCACTCCCAGCTTCCTGTTGCCGGTGCCCCCTTTACCATAAGTTTCCCGTATCTAGGCTTTTCACGATACCCTAATACCAAGACCCGTTTCACAACAACATGTCAGCAGCTCCCAGCCTCGTATCTGCAAACATCCCTTCCCTCGGCGTTGTTTCGTGATATATCACTCCACATGGAGAAATCTCGATTCGCGCTCTTAAAATACATTGTCGCGTATGCCGTCGCAGACCTTACGGTATATCTCCTTTTTTCGCCGGGGAGCCGGTCGTCTGGAAACGAGGTAGCCATAGCTGAACTCTCGTTTCGATCCGTTAGGTGTCTTGAAACGCGTCATGTACGTCTGGCACAGCCTGAAGGCGCAAAGTACGGACGCCATTCTGGTAAAGAAACCCTCCCTGAGCTTGGGCCTTTTCCGTTGACGATTTATCTCAAAGTTTGGAGGGCTCCTGCTGGAGCTTTTATCACCATCTTGAACGGAAGAGGCAAATGGTTTTCCATCTTGCCTGCCTCTAAATCCGCGTCATCGCTCTCGGGCCAAATCGCCCCCACTTTAGGCGCCACGTTAGGAAGCCTCCCATTCTAGATATTCTGGAAATTCCTTTTGCAGTTAGTGAATTAGTACTTCCTCCATCACCAACACCACGAGCATTGGATCTGCGATGTAGTAGAGATGCTCAATTATATATAGCAATCTATACTTAACAACCCTTGGGAAATACCCTAGCTCTATTCAGTTATTTTAGATATCGAAGGATTTTATTACTTTATAACGAATTCTTTATTCATCCTTAGCTTCTATAGCTATAACTTCTCTATATACGAACTACTACGTATAATTTTTCTACTATAAATTCCATTATATAAGCCGCTTGGAAATAGGGACACCTAGGCATAGGGTGAAATTTTCCCTCTACTATAAATTTCCCTATAGCGAGATTCCACTGTACCTGTATCGATGCGCTTCAAGCCAATGGCAGACTTGATATGCCCTTGCGACCTTTGACTGTGCAGTCGGACGTGAAAGACCGCGCGGTATGCAGATGTCCCCATTCGTTACTGTTGCACGCATTACCTGCTGTCACAAACCAGTTGCGAAAAGGTCTCTGAAGGGCCAAGAAGGGGTTGAACGGAACGCATTGAGATTGTCAAAACACACAAGCCTGAGCAACGGGAAAGGTTCAGAGTAAGCGTGGTGCCTTGAAAATAAGCTCTTCATTATAGGGTGCCGCTGCGTAGGCGGCCTTGGAAGTTGTGGAGTAGCTTTTACATTCGAAGGAGACCCAGCTCAGTACTCTATTGTCTTTCTTATGGCATCGTATACCCCTATTCGAGTTAGCAGAGTTCTCCGTCGCATTTTCGATATTACCTACTCGTCACATCTGGAATGATGAACTTCTCAAAGCTCAAACCCGTGTGAGTTGCCCATCCAGTCACCCTCTTCACGGGCGCCTCCAGCCGCAGGAAAGCCTGCTCCTGTATCGTTGCGGCCACCTCGGCACCTACGCCAGCATTCATCATGCTCTCATGGACTACCATTGCCCTTCCTGTCTTCTTCACGCTATCCACCACCGTCTTTCTATCCCAAGGGTATATCGTCCTCAAGTCTATCAGTTCCACGCTGCACCCAAAGTCCTTCTCTGCCGCTGATATGGCTGCCGCACATGTATACAACGGCGTGCCATAGGACACAACTGTCAAATCCTTTCCGCTTTTCAGTACCTCCGCTTTGTCAAGGGGAAGATGGTATGCATCAACGGGCACCTGTTCGACAGCCGCTCGGTACAATACTTTCGGCTCCATGAATACTACTGGGTCATTGCTTTGAATGGCAGACAATAGAAGACCCTTGGCCTGCAATGGCGACCGGGGGATCACGACGTGTAGGCCTGGGATATGAGTGAAGAGTGCCTCTGGGGATTGGGAATGATAACTGCGGGCATTAATTCCCAGGAAGAGTGGCACGAGGGCGGGTACAACTTACAGTGCTCCATGCCCGACCACTCCGCACGGCATGCGTACTACCAGCCCTCCGCAATTGTACCCCGTCGACCCCGACATGTACCTCCGTTTTGCCGCCTCATTCACAAGCTGATCAAATGCCGGATAGACATAGTCGGCAAACTGAATCTCCGCAACAGGCTTCATTCCTTCACTCGCCGCTCCTATAGCAAACCCAACAAGACCTTGTTCACTGAGCGGAGTGTTGAACACACGATCTGTGCCAAAATCCCCAGCCAAGTTCATTGTACACCTGAAGACACCGCCAAATTGTATGTCCTCGCCAAATACAAGTACCCTCTCGTCTGTCTGTAAAGCATGGCGGAGAGCTTCGTTGACTGCAGTATAGAGGTTTATGCGCTTCGTCTGGCCATTGCGGACATCGGGGGGTAACTCCGGGTTGGCTAGCGCTGCTCGTGAAGTATGCTGTAGTATGGGTGTGGAATCAAACTCGACAGTACCGTTGAGTCGTGCTCCTGCTGCTGCGGAAGCTTGCCGTATACTTGAGGGATGCCATTGACACCGTGGGTGGATGGGAGATTGAGGCCGCAGCAGACAACGCGAGAGGGTGCGAACGGGCGATAGGCTGGGAGGCATTGCGGTATGGATAGAGCAAATGAAAGACCAAAATCTATTCAAACTGCGGAAGAGAGACAATAACGATACATGATTCCTCCCTCAAAGCCACTTGGATATGAAAAGTTGTCTACGTTGGTCTATGCCGCTGTTTGCCGCGGGGAGAATACCTCGGAAGCCCGTTGTGATCCGACCAGCCAAGAGTGTGGCGGCGCTGCTGAATAACCGCTGACTGATCAATCCCACTCTGTGGCTGAGGTCGACGTAATGGGCCCGTGCGGCGTTGCTCGCGAACTGCTCCACTTCCTCTTGCTCGTTCTCCATCCACTACGCCAGTCATTGTCGCCCGATACTTTCCAGGCGCATCGCGAGGGATTCTATCCCCCCTATGGCGCGCGCAGTGAGCTCTGCCGCTGCAGCTGGCAGCCATGCCCCAGGTTTCTCTGCCCTGCCTCAAGCACGCATACGCACTCTGCTTCTCCTTCTGTTGCACGCCTTTGGACCTCTCTCAAGAGCTATTCCCGTCCCGCAGAGCATTGTACGTGGTCTAGGAGATGCTGGGCCCAAGGACCCAGCAGATGCGCGCCTATGGGTGTACCTGGGCACCGCTGTAGCTCTCGTTGTGGCTGGAGGTGCCTTCGCAGGCTTGACCATTGCGTAAGTGCCCAACTCGCGTGTTCAACGGCTTGATGCTCACTTACACATTACAGGCTGATGGGACAAGACGAGATATATCTCCAGGTGATCGCTACGTCTGGCGAGGGCCGCGAGCGCAAGAATGCAGCGAAGGTGTTGCAATTGCTGAAAAAAGGAAAGCACTGGGTGCTCGTCACGCTCCTTCTGAGCAATGTCATAACCAACGAAACACTTCCAATTGTATTGGATCGCTCCCTTGGAGGAGGTTGGCCGGCTGTTTTGAGCTCCACCGTCCTTATCGGTACGTGCCGAGCTTCCACCACAACCTCTCAACACTGACCCGTAGAGTCATCTTCGGCGAAATTGTACCCCAATCGATCTGCGTTCGCTACGGTCTCCCAATTGGAGCTTGGATGGCCCCTGTCGTGCTCGGCCTCATGTGGATTATGGCCCCAGTGGCATGGCCGACCGCCAAGCTGCTCGATTATCTGCTCGGTGAGGATCATGGAACTACCTACAAGAAGGCCGGTCTGAAGACACTTGTCACGCTGCACAAGACGCTGGGCACAAGTGCGGACGACCGCTTGAATGAAGACGAAGTAACCATCATCACTGCCGTGCTCGACCTCAAGGCCAAGCCCGTAGGCTCCATCATGACGCCCATGAAGGACGTCTTCACGATGTCGACAGATACAGTTCTCGACGAACAAATGATGGACAAGATTTTGTCTGCCGGATACTCACGTATTCCTATCCATGTCCCGAACAACCCCAGGAACTTCGTCGGCATGCTACTGGTCAAAATGCTTATCACATATGACCCTGAGGATGCTCTCCGTGTGCGCGACTTTTCTTTGGCCACGTTGCCCGAGACTCGTCCCGAGACAAGCTGCCTTGACATTATCAACTTCTTCCAGGAGGGCAAATCGCACATGGTTCTGGTTTCCGAGTTTCCTGGTGAAGACCACGGTGCTGTCGGAGTCGTCACCCTGGAAGACGTCATTGAAGAGTTGATTGGAGAGTAAGGAATCCTGTTTAGGAATATTGAATCATTGCTAACACTGGTAGGGAAATAATCGACGAGTCCGACGTCTTCATCGATGTACATAAGGCCATTCGGCGACTAGCTCCCGCTCCTCGCACTCGAGTGCCCAAAGGCGAAATCGTAACAGGGTCTTCTCGCCCCTCGGAACAGTCCTTGCTTAGGAAGGTCGACGGTGCTGAGCAGAACGGCGAGGGTACTAGGAAGTTCTCAGCACCCGAACTGGCGAGCAACCCAAAACGATCCCACTTCCTTCTCCAGAGGCGAAGCAGTGGCAACGCGGATCAGGCCATACAGCTGGATCCGGAGATCAAGCAACACCTGAAACACCTCGGGCCGTCGAATGCCGCAAGTAAGCCCAAGTCGACGCGGATAAACACCGTGAAGATCAAACCTGGAAATAACAGCGATGTACCGGACGGCCCTTCATCGCCACGAGAGGAGATTGTTCACTCAGCACCCGCACATCAAGGAGGAGCCGGTGAAGGCATTCTCGAGAATGCCGGACACGGCGCAAGCGATGCGGTCCACAATTTGGCAGTCGGGTATGGCACTATGAGAGTTCGTGTAAGCTCGTCGCCGAAATCAGTCAGATCGCAACACAAGCCTGTCGAGGACGAGGCGATATCGCCAAGATCCCACGCGACTGCCGATGAGCACACCAGACTACTTGGGGAGGATGCCACTGCGGGGAGGACCAGGCGCTCAGCGTCTATCTCTACTATCGGCTCACTGCCTTCGGTGCGGTCGTCGTCGCATAGTCCGTCTAAGCGGCGGCATACGGCGCGCAGCGGGAGCATATCAGAGAGTGTGGTGGACATCAACGGAGTTAGGAAGATTGTCTTGGAGACCACTAGCTCTAGTGATTCCGAAGAGAGACCTCACACTGGTAATCCTTCGGCTGACGACTGGCAGGTCCACATTCTGAAGCAGGAGGTGGAGAATGACGACCAGAACGAGAGGATTAATAGCGCCGGAGGATCCAGTAATAAGAAGAAGAGAAAGAAGAGGGGGAAGAAGAAGAAGGGGCCCAGTAGCGCAGGAAGCGGAGAGTCCAAGCCCTTGCTTGGAGGGCAATGAGTATGATACCTGGACCGCCACAACTATCTCTGTGTGCGGCAGGCTTCTCCTCGTTAAGTCCTCTCCTCGTTAAGTCCAGGGTGTGGCAGTTATTATTCTGTATTTTCATGTTTGCGGATATCCTGTAAATTATGGTTTCTTTGCATGTATGTCTGTGTCTTTGGTGGGCAGAAAGCATAGATCTGGCAGAGGCGGTCTAGCCTTGCGTTGCCAGAGTGAAGTGTTCTCAGTGCTATTGGTATCCGCATAGGAGGAGATATATCTTAATATCGGCCAAACGGACATAGATACATGACATAGAATACATATTCGTGAATCTCTAGGCCCTACTCCTCCCCTTCCAATCTTCCTCGCAACCCTTCCTTCCCCAACCTCATCGCCCTCTGAATCTCTTCCTCACCTTCCCTGAGCGCCTCCCTCCCAAAAGCGGCTTCCCTCTCTAATCTTCTCCTCTCCTCCCTAACTCGATCTTCCCGTTCCCGAAGCGCCCGCTCTCTCCTTTCTCGCTCCGCTTTTTTCTTCGCCAACTCGGCCTGCTGCTCTTCCGACAAACCAGCTTGCTGAGCATCCTCCGGCGGTGGCGGAAGCGTAGAAATGAACCGCTCCACCAACGAATCCCTCGCCGGCCCCGGCAGAGAGATAAACCGCAAATCAGCCCTTACCGCGTCCGGCAGCGTATCCAGCGTCGTGCGATTATTCAGCTTCCCTAACGGTTGTGCCTGGAGCAATGCTTTCAAATCCGCTTCCCGATCCGCGAGCCTCATGGCTAACCGCTTCACATGTTCTCTGTACAGTTTCTCCTTTTCCTTATCCGGAAGTTTGTAATCCTTCATTTCGGGTTCTTTTCGATATTTCCTTTGGAATTCTTGCCAGTAGAGTTTGCCGCTCGTAGCGTACCTGTGCAGGAAGTCTAGATAGGGTATTTTCGGATCGCGTTTTGCCTGTTGTGCCCTCTGCGCTTTTATCTCGGCGATGCGGTCACGGCTCCAAGCGTCGAAGCACTCTTTACGTGCGCGCATGTTGGGCAAAGCTTTGTACCTGTCGTCGTCGTACAGGGCCGTATTTTCCAGCACCTTTTCCCACGGCGTGTAAGGAGACATGTGCATGTCGTCGAGGAGTTCACGGAAGAGGGCTTGGCAGTCTTCTTCTGTTAGGGGAAGACCTTCTTCTTCCTCTTCCCCTTCTCCTCCTTCGTAGTACGCATGTCCGTTTTCGAGAGCCTCCATTTGCGCGAGTTGCCAGGATAGGTCGTCTTCCCCTAGTTCCATGGGTTGGGGCGAGCCTTCGGGTTGGGCGGACGGTTCTTCCGTGCGTTGGCGCTTTGAAGGGCCTCCCTCTTCCCCTTCATCGTCCGTAACTTCCACTTCCTCATACTCGCTGTCCCCTTCCATGCCCTCCTCCCCTTCGACTTCAACGATTTGCCCTCTTATCTCATCTTCCTTCACCGCAAGCTCCGCCTCCACCTCCGCCAGCACATCTTCACGCTCGCCTTCCCCTTCATCACTGCTCGGTTCCCCTCGCTCGCGGCGCTCCTTCTTCTCCCGTCCTCTACGGTCCATTTCGATAACAGCTTTCATGACGTCCGGCGGGAATTTCCAAAACGACTCGTTGGTGTCCTTGTTCCAGACGAAGCGTCTTCCCAGCTTCGTCCGCACGAGCACCCATGGTGCGCAATTGGGAATGTCGGTGCGGTGCTTCGGGCGGTCCTTGGGTTGGTGATGATGCGGACCTCCACGGTGTGCGCCTCTGTGACCATCTCGGTGACCGCCTCGGTGGTCTCCCCCATGGTAAGGGGCGCCAAAGTTGAAGGCGGGATGGTGTGCGTTGAAGGTGTCCTGAGTGGGGAAGACGTTGGGGAATGAGGACGTTGCGGGAGCGGGAGCGGGGGCGAAGACGGGTCGGTGGAGGGTTTGAATGGGGACGACGGGGCGGGTGTAGGTGGATTTTCCGGTGTCGCGGTTGTAGTAGTATGTATGGCCTGTGTGAATGTTAGTGGCATGCTTTGTAGATATTTCGTCTGGAGCTACCTGTTGGTGCCTTGTGCTCCGACCAGCCTGGAGGTAGAGGCGGTAGACCTGCAGGAGGCCGTGCTGGGAGGTCCGCCATTCTGCAAGCAATGATTAGCTGTAATTGGAGCTGTAGGGCAAGAAAAGAAGTGGTGATGTCGGAGTGGTGTTGCGGCTCCAATCTATGGAGAAGGTCGGGGCTTGGCGCTCGTTGGCCGCCGACGCGTGTGAAGCTTGTGCCTGGAGCTCTCTACGACATCAACACCAATTCTCAAGCCCAGCTCCGTCTTTCCCCCTTCTCTCTCATTTCGCTCTCCTCCGCACCCCTTAATTGCCTCTGCTGCCTCTAACTAGCAATCATGTCCAGGAGATACGATTCGCGGGTATGTCGTTCATTTACGCCGCCCACCCGCTCACCCTAGCTAACAGTGCACTAGACTACCATCTTCTCCCCGGAGGGACGTCTCTACCAGGTTGAATATGCGCTTGAGGCAATCTCGCATGCCGGTACAGCATTAGGCATTCTGGCAAAAGATGGCATCGTTCTGGCAGCGGAGAGGAAGGTGACAAGCAAGCTGCTGGAGCAGGACACATCAGCAGAGAAGCTCTACATTCTCAACGAGTACGGCCGAATTACTACCTCTGACCTAATATACGGTTCTAATAATGTCGTAGCAACATGATCTGCGCCGTAGCCGGCATGACGGCCGACGCCAACATCCTCATCAACTACGCCCGCCAAGCCGCTCAGACGTACCTCCGCACGTACAACGAAGACATCCCCTGCGAACAGCTCGTCCGCCGACTATGCGATCTGAAGCAAGGCTACACGCAGCATGGTGGTCTCCGACCCTTCGGTGTGTCCTTCATCTACGCGGGGTGGGATCCTCAGCGCGAGTTCCAGCTCTACCAGAGCAATCCCAGCGGCAACTACGGCGGGTGGAAAGCAACGAGTGTCGGAGCGAATAACGCATCTGCGCAGAGTTTGTTGAAGCAGGATTACAAGGAGGATTGCGATTTGAAAGAGGCTAGTGGGTTGGCAGTCAAGGTGCTTAGCAAGACAATGGATTCGACGAAGTTGAGCAGTGAGAAGAGTATGTATTTTGCAGTCCGAGAGATTATAACGGGATTACTGACTTTGAGGCAGTCGAGTTTGCGACGGTAGGGAGGACGAAGTCGGGCAAGATCTACCACCATCTCTGGGGAGCTGATGAGATCGATGCTCTGTTGAAGGAGCACGGTTTAGCGAAGGCGGAGGACACGGATATGGCAGAGGGTTGAGAGGTGTACGCGCAAGTAGGCTAGCATTGTCTGGCATTTGGGGCCAAGACAGCTGAGGTGGGCACGCTTGGAGACCATCAGTAACGGGCTGTAGCGTGTAACCCGGCAATACCGATCTCACCTTACGATGATTACCTCGCACTTAGGGCCATTTGTGAGACTCACCTTGCTTTGGCCATTATCTTTGATTCCTACGGCAGGATGAGGAGTCTCCGGTAGATCCTTCTTACTGAGAATTCTACCTAGTTATCGCACTTTCCTTCGGAAATGGCATTGCCCGCTATGAACCTTGGGCACTTGTCTCACTTCATGTCCTTGCCACTCTCTCCACATCCACACCATCGCTATCCCCGTACACTTTATCCTCATCATACACTTGTTACAATTCAGCCCTTCACCGGGAAGACAACTTACCCACTTTCGTACACGAGAATGGATACTAAACTCAATACCAAGGCCTTGGATGCTCGAAACTTCTCGTACATCGACCACCTCCTCGATGAGATCAATGGATCCGACTCATCATCACATCACCGCTTGAACGCACCTACCACGAGCAGAAACAAGCACACCTCTCAGGGGCCCGACGCTGTCAACAGAGAGTCTCGTGAAGCAACCCCTACTTCTGATGGACAGAAGGATCTAAAGCGGGGTGCTTGTGCACTCGAAGAGAAAGACGAAGGTAGCAGCTTCGATTCAGCGCAGTGGAACAGGCTGTTCCCGTCGCCTCCGGATTGCAGAGACTCGCCTGATGGCAACCGTAAGTCGTATCTGCATGCGTAGAGGACGTTGATGACACGAGACAGTGGAAACTGGCGGTCGAGACTCTGAAGCGTTACCATCGGAAGCTCACCAGCATGACTGCAGCGAAACCTTGATCGGTCCCAAAGATGGGTCCCGTCACGCCAGAATCGACCTTGAGCTTCCTGAGGGGAAGAAAGTGGTATGCGACTCGGTATCGCCTCTGTCCCCATCTACGACAGACACACTTGGCGGCTCAACTCCTCCCTACAAACGAACCAAGAATGGCCCTTCATCACTCCAGGATGCTGGCGAGGAGTCTACCCCTCAAGGGGCACCCAAATCAGTCGTACCCCTTGACACGATGGAGGACGCATCTGCGGACGACCTGTCACCGTGCGCTAGTTGGGCGGAGCCGTTCCAGCTTCTGCAGAGCGGTCCTTTGTCGATATATGTGAACAAGCACGGAGAGGAATAGAAGTCCCACCCCTTGTGCGAGTACTGTTTCCGACGATTCGGAAGGTTCCGCCGCCTCTAGGAAGATGGCTGCGTGTCTTGCGGACGAGAAGAGCCACTGGAGGGTTACTTTTGGGAAGACGAGAGCGAATAGGTTTGAGGAGTTCGATGGAACTGCAATCAACGTGTCGACGGCTATCGGGAGTTTTACAACTTCGAGAGAAATCCATCGCTCGAGAGGGGGCAAGTGTGGGAAGATGGAGGAGTTGAAAGACTGAGGACCTTTGCAGGAAAGGGACATGACTTCACCATAACTGAGGCTTATTGTTATCTTTCTTTCTGGTCTCGTTCATCCAACCTTTTATTCTTGTTTCAGTCAAAATTTGGGATCACTTTCCTTTGACTTCGTTATCTGCACGCGGTCTGCACTATTCCTGTGCCCAATTGCAATTACAGGATCCCCTCTGCCAAGTAGATGTTCAGCGTTGCAATGTACGAGAATAGATCGTCGACTGTCCCTCGGCACTCAAGCAGAGACTTCCCAAATGGTGATAGCCTCCAGGGGCATGTGGCTTGTGAATTCAACTTTCTTTATCATCTGAGGGTGAAGCCACAACTCCGAAGCCTTGAAGTTCGATTCAACGCTGAGATCGACTCCTTGAATATCAATAATCTATGATCACCATGACTTTCGTCGCTTATGTCCGCGCTCACATTTTGCAGGTGGTTCATGAATCTGATGAATTATTCATGTTGTTGCTGATGGTTGTCCCTAGTCTCATTACTTTTTCAGCTAGTGACCCACATATTGAGTCCAGAACGGCAACCTCCCCATTGCCATTGGATCGAGGCGCTTCTGTTTAAAGACCGCGCACCTTGTTTCCCCTTGTTCCTGACATTCCAGCCTTGCCGTGCGCTAGCCCAAGGGGTTAAGCGAATCAGCTACAAAGCTTACGACTGATTTTAAAGACTCAAATGCTCTGGAACGTTACTGACGCTAACCTGAACTAGAGGAACATGTCTCGTACTGGAATAGATGGTTTTCCGATATCTCAACGGCGTCAGGAATTGCGTGTACCTGCGGAAGGGGCTTGAAATACCTCCAATGGACAGCCTTCGCTACTGGCGCCATTTGCCGTCGGTCGGCTCACCCTTTGGATGCGGGTTCATGTGGCTTCATGTGGCTGCCATCGCTGTGGAACCTCTCGCCATGAGTCCATGACAGAGATGGCGAAGCGATCAAGGGGCTTTGAGATATAGGCGGGTCGGGGAACAGTCCACAGCCGACTTTCTTTCTCCTCTCCCACCATGCAAGTGTAGAAGCTTTCTACGTCCTTTCGTTTGCCCTACGGTCATTACTTGCTGTCGTCAACATGCCGTCCTCATCACTCGTTCTGAGGCTCGGTGCCGTTCTCTCCGCTCTTTCCTCTACTGCTTTCTCTGCAAAGTACACACTCGAAGATTCTTACACAGGTGCCAATTTCTTGGACGGGTTCGAATTCTTCACTGAACCGGATCCCACCAATGGCTTCGTTCGGTACGACCTTGAACTCTCATGGCAAGCGAACAGGCTGACAGGCTACGCAGTTATCTACCGAAAAATACAGCAATCAACTCAGGACTGGTTAGGACCATTGGAATGGATACCTACCTGGGCGTGGACTTCACCACACCGTTGACCGTCAATGGACCGGGACGGGCCAGTGTACGCGTGGAGACTTTGAAGAGGTATCAGTTCGGTCTTTTCGTTTTGAATCTCAAGCATATGCCTGCATCGACCTGTGGCACCGTAAGTCTCTTGACTGGTAAAGAACTCGAGGATACTATTGACATTCGAATAGTGGCCTGCTTTCTGGAGCTTGGGAGAAGGCGATGCTGGCATGTGGCCCAAAAATGGTATATTACTCGATATCTCTACTGTCGCGGCTTTCCTAATGGTGACCCAGGGGAAATCGATATCATCGAAGGCGTCAATAGAAATACGAACAACAAATTTGTTCTTCACACTGACAAGAATTGCAAGGTAGAGCATCCTCAACACCGTTGTCTACACGCTTGCTAACGCACTGTGTAGGTTGATGGAACGGGTCACACCGGTATCACAGGCCCAACGGACTGTTCTCTGGAAACCGGTGGAACCGCCGGTTGCGACGTGAACGCGGCAGAGTCGACCAGCTACGGTTCTGGCTTCAATGCGGTTAATGGTGGGGTATACGCTATGGAGTGGACCGCCGAGTCCATCAAAATGTGGTTCTTCCCCCGTGGTGCCATCCCAGCCAGCATCGTTGCCGAAGCGCCAGATACAGCAGACTTTGGTACTCCAACAGCCAATTTCGAGGGTGATTGTGATTTCGCCAACAAATTCATCCAGCAGAAGTTCATCTTCAACACCGACTTCTGCGGTGACTGGGCCGGCTGGGTCTACGGTGAGTGCTTCATCCCAATGAATCTGGCTCACATCTGGTCTTACACTGACCCCGCATAGCTCAATCTGGCTGCCCGCAGTATCCTGGTCTCAACTCAATGGACGCTTGCAAGCGTTTCGTCGCCCAGAACCCCAGTGCCTTCTCGCAGTCGTATTGGCTCATTAGCTACTTCAAGACCTTCAAGGCCGCCTCTGAATCCACCTCCTCCACCTCGGCTTCCAGCACGCAGTCGTCTACGTCCACCTCGGCTTCTGATTACACCGTCACGACCTCTGCTGCCTCCAGCACCGCCTCTGAAACCTCCACATCATCGAGCTCAGAGTCGTCGTCTACCAGCAGTGCAAGCTCCGACGTGAGCAGCACTACTTCAGACGCTAGCTCTAGCTCCAGCTCCAGCTCTGGCGTGAGCAGCACTGCTTCGGACGCCAGCTCCAGCTCCAGCTCCAGCTCCGTCGACGTGTCCTCGGTCACTTCGACCTATGAGACCAGCTCTGCGACTTCTACCGCTGCCGAATCCCACGAGACTTCAACAACGGCTGCGTACGACACCGGTTCCGCCACTTCTACTGCTGCCAATGCCTACGAGACTACATCCAGTGATGCAGACCACTACGAAACGCAATCGGCTTCAACCTCTTGCACGACTTCCACGGCTGCGTATGACACCGCCTCCACGACTTCTACTGCTGTCAACGCCTACGAGACTTCGTCCATTGAAGTAGATAACCACGAAACGAACTCGGCCTCGACTTCCTGCACGACCTCAACGACGGCTGCATATGACACTAGCTCTACGGCTTCTACTGCTGCGGTCGCCTACGAGACTACATCCAGTAACATCAAGTATCACGAAACTGACTCCTCGACTTCCTGCACGACCTCAACAACGGCGGCATATGACAACAGCTCTACGACTTCAACGGCTGCCGGTTCCTACGAGACTCCCTCCAGCGATGAAGCTAACCACGAGTCCTATTCTGCCTCGACATCTTGCACAAGTTCAACAACACCCGCCTACGAAGTCAGCAGCTCGACTGAAGATTACCCCGTGCCAACCTCCACTCTCCCTGCTTCCGGCAATCCCACCTATCCTGCAACGTCCGGCAATTCCAACCCCTCATACGTGACAAAAACGTATACGACTACCTATCTCGACGTCTGCTCAACCGGCTACACCACCATCCACACCACCCACACAGCCATCTACGAAGAATCACCCGCCACCCCCACTCCCCAGGAGTACCCCGCAGGCTTCACAACGACAATCAAATACTGCCACAGCGGCTGCGCCCCTTACCCAACGAGCGTAACCGTCACCATCCCCATCGTCGAAACCGAGTACCCTTACACAACCGGGAACGCTCCCAAGCCTACTTCCGGAGCCCAGTACCCCGAAGCAGGCAAACCGTCCGTGGATAAGAATTACCACGTCGGTGTGCCCCCGGAGCTTCTGAACAACACCGCTGTCGTCGTGGTTCCGCACGTCGTTACGTTGTCCGTCGTCCCTGTGCCGGCGGCCGAGTACCACGCTTCGTCCGCTTCTGCACACGCTTCGGTTTCCAAGGCCGCGTATCCCCTCGCAGGAGGCTATCTGGCTCCCGCATACCCCTCTCCCGCACCGCAAGGAACTGCTCCCGCCTATCCCGCCGTTCATCCTCATCCCAGTGCCAACGCAACCGCGCCGTACGGAACCGCGCCGTATGGGACGGGCGTGACGGGACCCACGAAGACGGGCTACCAGCCTCCAGCAGCAGAGTTCACGGGTGCGGCGGCCGGTCTCAAGGTGGGCGGTGTGTTGGGTGCGGTTGTTGCGGCGGGAATTGCAATGTTCGTGTAGGGTGCCCTAGGGTAGATATGGCTTTGGATACATAAGTACGGTATATGAGTTCTTGAGGACCTGTTGTTTAGCCTTCGCACTTGAAGGTGTATTGTTTTGTAGTCGAATACAGTAATTTTCCTTCGTGCGTACCCGTACTTGTGTTGGTGCCGTGAGGGGGGGGTATGGAAGGCAATGGGGACCTTGAGAGCACCGCGGCGCTTCTTCGCTGGGTGTCTTGAGGAATGGATTGTCGTATACTCCGTACGTACTGCATCTTTTCACGTCCGATTGAACTGCAAGGCGTCGCAGGGATATAACTGACGCTGTCAATAGCCTAACAGCGCCTCCTTCCAGGTACCATCAGCCTTGAAACACCGCGCTCTAGCGCCGTAAACCAGACTGGCGCCAATAGAAATGGTTGAACTAGGTGATCTAACTCAGAGCAGCCGTACAAGGGGTTCTTCAGTTCAGATATGAGAGGGTGCAGTACACGTCCAACAAGATCACCATGATGCACGAACATCAGAGACACAGTGAAAACCACACACTCAATTTATCAAATACATCGCCAGCATGCATGCATACATACCGCAGCAGAACAGACCCAGAAACGAGAAAAGAACAAAAATACATATAACATAGCCTAAGGCTAAGCCGATCAGACCACCCTTCCAACTTTTATAAGTCTAGCATTTGACTACACGCCGTTTCCCTGCGGCGCTCCTCCCTGCTGCCCTTGCGTGTGCAAATGTCGAACTACCACAGTCATGTCGTTTCGAGCCGCAGGATCAATCTCCAGGATATGCCGTAGATTGCGCATAGCCTCTTCGGCCATGTTGGGTTCGTGTGAGAGGAACTGAGCTATCACGGGGGAAGTGATGTATTCCCCAAAGATTTCTAGGGCCTTGGGGTTGAAGTGTTGCTGAGCATATTGCGGCGGTTGAACGGGTGGAGCCTCTTGGCTCGGTTGTTGCTGGTACGGTTGATGGTGTTGTTGAGGAGGGAAACCTTGCTGAGGAGGAACGTAGTGTCCGTTGCTACCGGCGTGTTGTTGCGAATAACCAAGTGCTGGTTGCATGAGCGCAGGATTGCGCCCCGTCGACGCGGGAGGAGCATGCGGAGCGCCAAATGGAGCCCCTTGACTTAGGCCTGGTTGGACAGGCGAGTACTGCGGAGTCTGCTGGTTCACCACCGGCGGAGGGTGAGGCGCAGTGGCGGAATGGGACGGCTGGTTTCCGCTCGATGTTACGGTGGTCGGATGTTCTGATGCTTGACTGGCTTCCGGTTCATTTTCGTGGCGCAGAAGTCTTTTCGCTATCAGGGCGAGGAGAAGCATGGGGTTGTCGCGAATAGCCTCGATGTAGCATTCCTCTAGGAGGTCGAGAAAGCCGGGCATCGGACTACCCCCAGCCTCAAGGGGTATGATGTACATATCCTGCAACATGCCGTGTGTAAAATGCTCTGGGGGAATGACGCCCCAGCGATTCTTCGATAGGAAGTAGTTGACCACGCCTTCAAAGCCAGGGTCATCCGCGGGAGCGACAGGCGAGAGTGCAAGCACGCTGACATCTGGGCATGTTTCGGGCTGTTCCCTACTCAATGTGGCAAAACTGGAGATATAGTTGTCACCAACTGTGGCTTCAAAACGACCTTTGATGGGTAGTTTTGGTGGCAACAGCTGGTTCCATGGGATGACATTGCCAAAGTTGCCGCCCGCGACACAGCGTGCCACGGCCTCGAATCGGAAATGCTGCAATTCCACCACGCCTCGCCAGATGATGGTTGGGTCCGAGGAGCTACCCATGTCCGCGTCCTCGTCCTCGTCCTTTAGCAGTCGGTCAATGTCAGCGTCCACAACGGGGCCCCCTTGAGGCGTTTGCTGAGGCTTAATGGAGCTTTGCCGACGATGCAAGAATGTTTGTTGATCATGTTGCGGTGACTTCACCTTGTCAAAGACTGAGTTGATATCGAAGGTAGTCGAAGGTCGGCGAACGCTGTCATCCTGGCTTGTCGGACTCTTTATCTCGACGGAAAGAGGGGTGCCGCGGGCTACGCTCTCAGGAAGTTCAACCACATGACCGCCTTCTTCCCGAGAGGATGGTTGCATTTCCGACTTCTCTTCGTCAACACTTGGCCTAGGGCGAGGCTCCGGGGGCCTGAATTCTGGCTCTGCATCCATGTTTTCTTCTCCGACAAGTTCTTCGCCCTTGTGTGTCTTGCGCAGTCGCGGACCGGCTTCGTCGGTCAGCACCATCTGCCTCTCGCTCGCCTCCTTGATGGCAGCATATTCCCTCTGTTTGTCCTCGCTTGCCATCTCCTCGACGGGCATGGTCGCAAGGTCGTTGGCTGAAAGTGACATCTTAAGCAAGCGATCGACAAGCGCAGGATTGCGTTTGAGGTTGGAGGTGATCTGCCGAAATCGCTGGGCATATGGAGAGTCGTTGCCCGTGGGCAATCCCCAGTGCGCGGCTACTGCGCGGTCTATCTCCAGGGCAAAACGTGAGGCTACAGACGAAGCAGTGTCACCGTCTGGTATCCGGTAGCTCCCAGAATCAGTAACCTGCGTGATGATCGGCGTAAGCAGGTTTATTAGAGACTGCGTGATCAGGCGCTGCTTCTCTGAAAGAGCATCAGCACTGCTTGCAGCAGCCGCTGAAGGTGGGCCCTGTTGATGATGCGTGCTGGATTTTCTGCGCTTAGCACTGGTACCCTCGGCCTCCGCGACAGCTTCATGGGATCGTTTCCCGCCCAACGGGGATTGAGGTTGGCTCTTGGGGGATACCTTCTTGGTTAGCTGTAGATGGATTAGCAGTGTCAAGACTGCGGTTCGGCATACTTACCTTTGGCGCCTCTTCCGCGGTGGCTGGAGTAGGTTCGGATCCCAAGTGCTGTTCTTTGGTGGGGTGAGGAGTCGGTGTCCCTGTCGTCGCCTGGAGGGCCTCTGATCCGGCGTCGCTGGGACGGAACTTGGGCCTTGGAGCCTTTGAGCCCTTCTTACGATTCCACGGTTTCTCTCCGCGTGCCATAGCGGCGAGAAGCTCGGCATGATCTTCCGGCTTGCACCTTTCACACAGGTATGCCTTGTCGACCCAGTAGGAGCTATCCGGGAGGCCCAAACACTTGTTGTGCTGCCATGCCTCGCATTTGTCGCACATGATCATTTCACGGCCCCGAATCTCTCGTTGGTCTCCACAGACACAGCGGTAGAGGGCATCATCCTCTTCATCCATTTCCCCTGATGCTGCGGACTGGGCGCGGGACGTCTCTGCTGGCGTTGGCGCCTTCTTCTCTGCCTTGGGTTTTGGTTTCGGCTTGTGGATGGCTTCATCGAGAGCGTCGGCATTCTTCGTATGATGGCCTTTGTTCGCGCGGCCAGAACGTCTGACTTCGTCTGTAGCATGGTCGTCAGTGTACGGTAGATGAAGCGGGGATACGCGTCCGAGGTAACGAGACGGAAGTCTGGTGTGGCAGCGGGCTCTGCTTACCGGCCATGGTTTTTACAGACGTAGCAATATTATCGAGGCGAACAAGTGTTCAATTCAGGTGAGGATGATGTGATGAGTTCACGTTTCTAACTGAATCCGCCCCCGCGGCAAGCAACTTGTAGCAAGTCGGTGGCGGCAGAGCTCCCACGACACGTAACTTATATGAACAGAAAGCAGGCGCGCGCACTCCTCCTGCGCAACGAACGATATACAAGGGTGCAAGAGAAGGTCGCGCGACAGCGCAGCTTCCCTCCGCGTAGAGAGATCAGGTAGACGCGCCCGCGTCAGAGTAACAGGGAAGAGCAGGGGCAGTTCTGAGTCTTTGCGCACGTTCCGAGAAGATGGTAGTCTGTGAGAGGAGCTGTGCGCGTAGTGTGGAAGCTGTGTGGTGGTGCGGGTGGAATGTGGGAGAGGTTTGTGGTGGCAGATGAAGTCGAGACAAGAGGTTTGGACGCCGAGGGGAAGCTTTTGCGCTAGTGATTTTGGGGGATGGTGGGATCTTGGCATAGAACCATCGATGAGGTGGATCTATCTGGCGTGCACGGGCCGTGCTTGACATCAGCAATGCAAGGCCACCGCTCCATCGAAGCTTTGGGATGTGCACCATATCATTGAACGAACCAAACCCAGTGAATTGTCTTGCCCACCATGGCGGACGTGCGAGCTATGCTCCGCCAGGAGCGCGCTGCCCGCCAGCAAACCGAACGGAACCAGCGGTCTTCGGCAGCTCCAGCTGCAGCCCCATCGTCGAAGAAACGCAAAGCTCCGGATTACGCAGCGGAAGAGCGGAAACGGACGAGGACGGCGCCGAATCAGGCAGTTCCTTCAACTCCCTCTGACAAACGCAACTCAACGATCGAGGAAGCAACTTCAACACCGGGGGAGGTGGCTGTTGCAGAAGATGTCCCTCCGCAGAATGAAGTTGGGCAGGCTGCGCTGCAGGAGGAGGAAATAGAGGCTCCGTCCCAACACGCGCAACAGGTAGACGACGCGGAGCTGGATGCATTCATAAAGGAGATTGAGGAGGCGCCGGAAACGCAACCAGGCATCTACGACAGATATTCGGGTACAGTAGTCGAGGCAGCACCTATGACGGCCGCAGAGGTCGCCGCTCAGGCGAAGATTGAACAGAGTGCCGAGCGCGAAAGGAAAGAGGAGGAAATGGAGGCGGAGAGAGAAGAAGCGGAAAGGAATCTGGCAGACGAATTTGAAGAAATGGAAAGTCTGGAAGAGAGGGTGCGCAGGTTGCGTGAGCAGAGGGAAGCACTTCGGAAAGCGCACTCTTCAACGAAACCGGCCGGTGACCCTCTGCCTGGACCTGCGCTTGGGCCGGCTCCTGCGATGGAAGAGGAAGATGAATCGGAAGATGAGGACTTCGACGATATGGATTGGAGATTCCGTGCTGCGTAGTTCAGAAGTTTCCCTCGGCAAAGCAGAGCGCGACGTACGATTACAAAACTGGTTGCGTACAACGCACGTGCTACCGGTGGCGTTCAGGATGATACCCATTTTTGGAGACGGTTGGAAAGAATGAGATACTGCGGCACTTGTATGAGGTGATTGAGAGCATATCGGGTTGAAGCCAGCATTCTTTGGGCGACATATCTCTGCTTTGCGGGCAGGTCTACTGGGTGTTCACACAATAAACTTGAAGACATTCAAGATGAGCATGTAACTTGTTTTGCTCTGGCCTCCCTGCACCCTTCTCCGTATACGTAGACTATAGTAAAACATGCTCGGTCGTATGCCGGTTTGCTCAGATGGGTTAGTGGCGGCGTGAAGGCGCCAAGCCTTACCTTCGTCGAGTTCGGGGGGTGGACAACCTTGGAACCCCTCCAACATTTTGAATACACATATCTAGCACCTCTCCCTCTCCGCTCTCTCCCGCACCGTCCTTCTTCTGGGCTCGGACCATTCAAACTATCCAAAGCCGGCCCCTCGACAGACGAACCAAATCTTCCCACTTGCCATGTCGCGGAGGCCCAACCCAGCCGCCGAACGGGCGGAACAAAACCGCCAGACACTGAAGACGCTGGTGAAATTGGAGCCTAATAAGAGTTGTGCCGATTGTAAAAGAAACAAGCGTATGCACCCGGAAAAGGCGGGCTATGGTAGTCTGCATACTGACGAGGGGGACAGACCCACGATGGGCCAGCTGGAATCTGGGCATTTTCATTTGCATTCGGTGCGCGATCTTGAACGCCGATTACCTCCTCCTAGACTGACTCTATCAGTTGCTCTGGCATTCACCGCGGGATGGGAACGCACATCAGCCGAGTCAAATCCGTTGACCTCGACTCCTGGACAGACGAGCAACTACAGAACATGATCAAGTGGGGCAATGCGCGCGCAAACAAGTTCAGTGGGATTGCTACTCTGAGATATGCATGTGCCTGACAGATACAGATATTGGGAAGCAAAATTGGCGCCCGGGCACGTCCCATCGGAAGCGTGAGTTGGCGCAATCCCCTCCGCCTCTTTGCTCACTAACATTTTGTAGGAAGATCGAGAACTTCATCCGAACGAAGTACGAATCGAAGCGTTGGGTAATGGACGGAGGCATACCCGATCCTTCCACTCTGGACGTCTCCGACGACGATGTTGTGAGTAATTGGAATGCACTAGAAAAGGGGCATTGGCTGACTGGGATGAAGCCGCTCAGTAAGGTACAAGAAAGGGTTGGAATAGAACGCTCAGCCTCCCAACGGCTTGCGGCAAACTCTGGAAAACCCCCGGCCCCGCAAGCCAGCCAGGCGCCGCCCAAACCTCTCGTTGGCGATTTGCTCTTTGGAGACGAACCCACTGCTGCACCTGCAAGGCCAAGTACTGGGCCACCCATAGGAAGGACTGTCCCTCCGAAAGCAGAACCTGCACCACCGAAACAGACAAAGGCAGGAGACTCGCTCTTAGGCTTGGATTTCCTTGGTGGCGGCGCATCTTCGCAGCCGGCCAGACCTTCTAGCTCTGGGCCAGCACCCGCTGCTCCCTCCCGACCGGACCTCAAACAGTCTATCCTTTCGCTCTATGCCTCTGCGCCAAAGCCGACGCCACAGGTACAGCAGCATAGCAGGCAAGATTCCTTTGGCGGCCTTGCCTCTCCGGGCTTCTCTCAACCACAGCAAACTCCTCAGCAATCCAATCTCGGAAGTCTGAATGATGCGTTCAGCGATTTGTCCTTTAACTCGCAGCCTGCCGCGCAAGCCAAACCATCCCCCTTTGCCGGATTAGACTCACTCTCCAAATCCCGTTCGCCGACCTCCACGTCTTCCTCGAACCTGTTTGGCGGCGGGGGTAGCTTCTTCGATTCTAACCCCAAGCCCGCCCCCGCAACACAAAGGCAGAACCAGCGAAGGCAACAAAGCTCAAGTGGCTTTGGCGACTTTACCTCATCCTTCCCCTCGTCTACCACAACAGCTCCTCCAAAACCTTCTGCATCTGGATCTGGCCTGGATGACCTCCTCGACTTGTCTATGCCAGCCGCTGCCCCTGCGCAGCCTATGTCCTCGCCGTCCATGAGTTCTCCTTCTATCAATTCAACCTTCAACCTCTCTTCACATGCTGCACCAGCTGCTACCGCACCGGTCGCAAACACCACTTCCAACTTCTCCGCATTCTCCAGCACGGACCCATGGGGAAGCAATGATGTGTGGGCGTCAACGGGGCCTAGCCAACCTGCGGCTACTACTACGAGTAGCACTGCCGCTACGTCACATACGCAGCCGAGGAGCCCTGCGTGGGCCGCAACAACTCCCCATGTGACTCAGGATGATGATTTTGGAGGATGGAGCAGTGCAGCACCGACAAGTACTGGTACGGCGACCACCACGAATAAGCCCGCAGGAGGATTCGGAGGTGATGACCTGTTTTCGAACGTTTGGGAGTAGAATGAGAGGGTGTATTTTGGGGTTCAGGTGTGGAAACGGAAAAGGAGAGGAAGGATGGCTCGTCAGACAGTTGGTATGGCGTGAACGAGCAATCAGCAAGAGCTTATGAGGATAAGAGATTATAATGACAGTGTGAGTCGTGAGTCATAAAGGGGATCAGATGGCCTTGCCGAGCAATATAAGCTTCTTGACATGAAGATGACAATAATGGATATCTACTCCAGAACGCCTGTGTTCCCTGTCGCAGCACCCCTTGAAACCAAAGTAATGCCATGTATGCAATCCGTGCTAAAGAAAACGTTCCCGCCGCCCTCGCATGACGCCTTGTACGATCGTCTCGCATACTCTTGTACTCACGTCGTCCGAACGCTCAAAACGGAACGTAGAACGCTCATGCCGTATACACGGACTGGGTATATCCTCCATATCGTCCCGCGCCTGTTCTCCATATCAACCCCACACCTCCTCCGTCCGCCCTCCTTCCCTTTCACCATTTACCAAAACCTCTCCTTCCCCTCCCCGCCCTTCCACATTCATTCAGAACAACCACCCAGCCACCCAATATAAAACCAACACAACGGCGACTATTATCCCTGCGAGCTTCAGCACCGCGACTTTATTCCCGCTCGCCGCCATGCGGCCTAGACGTGTGGCGCTGCCCTTTAGAGAGGTAGAGAAGGAGGAGAAGGTTTCGGACTGTGGATAGGGAAGGGGCGTTAGTTGAGGGCCGTTATCGTGGTAGGATGGTGAAGAGTAGGGCGAGGATATAGGGAAGCCGTGGAAGGGGAGAGGAGAGGAGGCAGACGTACGGTACTGTCGATAACGCTCTGGTCGCGCGCATTGTCGTAGATGTCGATGGTGACGTCGCGGAGGGCGGAGACTTTGGAGGCGAGTTCCTCGAGGCGGGAGTTGTTTTGTCTGTTTGAGAGGGTAGGTTAGAGGAGTGTGGTTGGAGGGAGGGGTGGGAGGCGTAGTGGAAGGGGAGGGAAGGTTCAAGAGAAAGGGTGGTGATTATATGAATGGGGGGTGGTGTACCGCTCGCGCTCGTAGGCTTCGTTCATCTTGAAGGGGGTAGGTGGTGTAGTTCGGCTGAGGGAGCTGGCGGGTGCGGAGATAGGGACAGAGGTTGTGCGGAGGTGCCACCTTAGGATAGATGTGCAGAGCAGAGGGTTCGGGTTCGATACTGATCTTGATGGTATTATCGGAAGGCGGTACTGTAGGAAAAACGGGATATGAGTAGTGCAGAGTATGTGTATTACAATCTTTGTCTTGATCAGGATCGCTGTTCACCGTGGTAGTGACAGAGGTTGGGTGGCCGCACGATTCTATTGGTGCTGGTGGTCTTGGCACGTTGGCCAACGTCAAAGGGTTCCGTGATTCTATCTCCATCTCCACCTCGTCAACTCTACCCTACTGCAACTGAACTCGTCCAAGAAGTGCTCACTTGCTGGCACTGTGCTTCTTTGTCCCAAAAATGCGGCACACATTTCAGACTTCCTCTATCAACCCTTCGTTTGTCAACGTTGTCGCCGCTAGCCATGTTCACCCTCTTTGTTCACATGTACTTTCTAACTGCAAACATTCATCTCCACTGTCAAACTCGATGGTAATTGTGCAACTCTGCGAAAACTAATTATCTAGTCTACGAAAGCTCAAAGGTTCATACCAACTTATATCCATTCCAGTACAGGACACCGTTCCTTCCATCGCCTTTCGATGTTCACTCTCTCGAAAGGTGACCTTTTCCGCTTTCTTCCATTACACCGCATTGTGAGATACCTTGGCCGCAATCCCTCTATATTCCTTACAGTGGCGAAACGGTCTCTCTGAAGATGGCGTGGGAGCAGATTGGGATCAATGCGAACCCCTAGGCAAACTAAGCACACACCTATATACTGCTGATCAGGTTGAAGTGGCCTCTCAACTCCGTTCCCGCAGAAGCACGCGCGACCAAGGCCATTGGCGGAGCGCATCCGCTGCACGGATTTTCTATCCTTCTTTTGGATCCCTTGTCCACGCCTGCGTCGGGTCCCGTCAATGGTTGACTTGGTTGTTTTAGACAATATCTCCTCGTTCTCTATTCGGTCATTCCGGATGTAATAGTCGTATCTCCTGTCGCGACATGCATGGCACATGTTATCGAACTCATCGACTGTGTAAGGACACAGACAGAGGTTCTGAATTCCGGGAGCCCTGTTCCACTCCCTACGTGGCCATGATATGCACTTTGCTAACCAGGTAGGCTCATCTCTGTCAAAACGAAGTCCGTTATCCCTCTCCCGATGCGCAACTATATTCGGCCAGCCTTCCTCTCGTCGCATCACATATCGATCATAAAGCTCGATACGTTGCCAATAGAGCTTGACCTCTTCCTTTATACATGTCTTGCAAAGCAATCCTCGGTGGCTACTAGTTGAATGATAGTATGCGTTGTTTTCAGGGTCGTACCACGTTGCCCAGCGATCTATACGATCCAGCTTCTCCTGCCTGCCATGTAACCTACAAGTACCACAAGCTGACCTAGGGTGAGAGTTACTGCTACCACTAATTGCTTCCATACCCGGCTGGATGTTGCAAGTATTCCACGGTGTGCTGTAGCATCCCCAAGGGCCGCAGCATGTGGCGTCATCACATCGGGGCTGCTGGGGCTGCGGGGGTGGTGCTGGGGGTCTCGCCACTGGTGACGGAATGGTTACAGCGGTGTCACACGAACGTGTGTTGGATCCACCGATAGAGCTGGATAAAAACAGTCGCTTTGAACGACGAAGTGTGTGGGTGGAAGGGGAGGGAGAGGGAGATCTAGTTGATCGCTCCGATGGACCGGTGCTTGGACCGGTGCTTACGATATCGGATGGAGGCCGGCGGTACATGATGTTGTTTGCCATTGTGTATTATTCAGAAGTTGGGAACTCCTCTCGGGAAGGCAAATGGAGTGTGGGAATCCCAGCTGAAAAAGCTGTGATATCTTGGGGAAAAAAGATATTGAAGTTTGACGACTGATATCGAGGACGGCTAAGGAACATCCTCAAGAGGTATGTTCAATTTCTGCCCGGATTCTTTTCAGGCAAGACGACGCAACAAGAGATGAAAGACGCATTGTTCTCTGCAAAGCAGGATATTGCCACAAAGGCGGAATGAAATATTCTATTTTCGCCATTGTTGACAGCATTGTACAGGTTGTCCATGTTTCTTTGTTCGTCAATCCTAACGACATCGACCGAGCATCTATGACTCCAAATCCGGACGGCACGACGTGATCTCAATGCGGATTTCCACGCAGGAAGATCTTCATGCTGGAAGTCAAAGGGCGGTCTGATGTGTTTAGCACATGTGAGTGGGCAGAGCTCTGTATTGGTCCAATTGCCAGAATGCGTAGCAACTGATCGGTAACTGATTCAACGGGGGGAACAGCCTATGTGCAGGTTCTCTAGACACAAGTGCTCCGCCTTCCTGTTCCTAACGTCGTCCACGTCTAAGTAATTCACTAACCATCACTTTGCATAGAACCACCGGAAACGCCGCGGCGTCCTCGATCATGCAATTTTGCAGTCTCCTGGGTGATGAATTGCGGTAATGAACCTGAAACTCAACAGTTCAACCAACCGTCCCGGGTCAGTGATAAAGCTTGTCTGCACCCAATCTGTCGTTAATATTCTGGAAGACGCATAGAACATGTCGATATTGGATACCCACGATTGCGGCGGCCGCGTCCGCCGATCCAAAGTGCGGAAATGAAATTCAGTACCCTGCTGAATGGGTCGCCATATATGAGATGATTAAGCGAAGTCCCAACTTCAACCCGGTATCGCAGGCATAATAAGGGAAAACAACCTCCTAGATGAGGGCAATTCTTGACCAATAACCTTCCTTGACATTTGAGGCTCTTTAGGGACCGTCTTCCACCAACTTGGTAGCCCTCATCGCTGGGTTCACGATCCATGTCTACGAATTTCGAATCTCAACTCTGACCGAGAATGGATGCGGAGATAGACCCCGCTATATTGTTGAACATTTCATTCGATGACCCAATGCAAAGGGATTCAGGTTTGAAGGAAGTATAAAGGTTGAAGCACGCCGAGACGAAGCCCTCTGTAACAACTTCACTTTCTCTCTCGAAGGTCTCGGCACGGTCCCCAGAAGTCATGCCTCGCATATCCTTTCTGGCGGCATCTTTTTTTGCTGCAACAGCCGTTGCACAAGTTCCCGGCCCCCTTACGCCTGAAGTCCATCCCCCAATCACATCCTACAAATGTACGACTGCTGGAGGATGCAAAGCCGTCCAGTCCTCCGTCGTCCTCGACTCCAACTACCGCTGGCTGCACAACGTCGACGGCTACACCAATTGCGTCACTACGGGCTTCAACAAGGAGTTCTGCCCCGATGTTGAGACTTGCGCTAAGACATGTGCGCTCGAGGGAGTCGATTACGCCTCCTATGGCATTCGCACCAGCGGCGATGCACTGACGCTCAACATCTACAAGACGGATCCAGTGACAAACGTTACCAGCTTGTCCAGCCCGCGTGTCTATCTGCTTGCAGACGACAACACGTACGAGCACTTCAAGCTGCTGAACCAGGAATTCAGCTTTGACGTCGATGTCTCGCAAGTGCCGTGCGGCATCAACGGAGCGCTGTATTTCTCCGAGATGAACGACAAGGGCGACGCAAACGAGCTCAATACCGCGGGAGCGAAATACGGAACCGGTTACTGCGATGCTCAGTGCCCGAAACAAAATTTCATCAAGGGAGTGGTGAGTGGCGATTCGCATCTTACATGAAATATGGAAAGCTTATACTCATTTCAGGCCAACCTCAACAACACATACGGTGCCTGCTGTCAAGAAATGGACATCTGGGAAGCCAACCGTGCCGCTGCGGCATTCACACCGCACCCATGCAACACGACCCAAGTCTTCGCCTGCGAGGGCACCCAGTGCGGCAACGGCGACGAGCGCTACTCTGGCGTCTGCGACAAGGACGGCTGCGACTTCAACGCCTACCGCAACGGCAACAAGGCCTACTATAGCCCCGGCGCCAACTACACGGTCGACACGTCCAAGAAATTCACCGTCGTGACGCAGTTCGTCACCACGGACGGCACGTCCGCGGGAGCCCTGAAGGAGATCCGCCGCCTCTACGTGCAAGACGGGAAAGTCATTCAGAACTCAAAAGTCTCGGTTCCGGGTCTCGCGGCTGATGACTCCATCACCGACGCGTACTGCAGCGCGCAGAAGAAGGTGTTCGGCGGCGTCGATCACCACGCTCAGCTGGGCGGTCTCAAGACTATGGGCGAGGCTATTGGTCGCGGTATGGTTCTTGCGCTGTCCATCTGGGATGATGCGGGTTCGTATATGGGGTGGTTGGATCAGGACCCGTATCCTGCGGATGCGGATCCGAGTAAGCCTGGTGTGGGGAGGGGACCTTGTCCGACGACGGGCGGGAGGCCGGAGGAGCTCATCAGGCAGTTCCCGGATGCGAAGGTGGTGTTTTCGAATATTAGGAGTGGGGATATTGGGAGCACGTTTGGGGGGAATGCGACTGTGGTGAGGAGGGCTGTGGAGTTGAGGGTTTAGAGTGGTGGGTTAGATGTAGGGTCCCTATAGGCTCTAGTTTCCAGATTCTCCCGTCTCTTAACCTGTGGAATCTAGACTCGAGCCAGGAAATCTAGTTATGCCCTAGATATTACCTAGGGCAACCTCTACCTTGGCAAATCTCTAATCTCTATGCTAGTCTAGATGCCCTATATGCCCTAGTAATCCTAGGCGGGCAGCTTTATAGGGTTGTCCTAACTTGTAAAAATAAACGCGTGTAACTACTACTTATTTTAAACTCTAACCTATACTTAGCTATAAGCTAGTAACTTAGATATAAACTATTAAAACTAGCGTTTTTTATTGACTAAAATAATATCTTGCTACCCTACTCTCTAGTTGTCCTTAATCTTATCGCATGCTACAGAGCATAGCAGATACAATGGCACAAGCTGCTGAATTCCTTGAACATGCGCAGTCAAACATGCATCGAAAGATCCGCCGTCGTCTTGGGTAACGTCATGAGCCGTTGAAGAACTGCCACTCTCTACTTGGTTGCCACGCAATGTAGCGGTCATCTCAACGCCCTCAAAGTATGACGAGCGCTCGTAAGGGATCCTAGGGGTCGAGTTTGCGTCCGGGACGGTGATGAGACATTGGAGGCTAAATAAAAGCTCGGAAATTTGAGAGTTTACTCTCTCCCATGCTTGCTTATTCGACGGCCCTAACTCGGTTGACTGAGCTTCTTCGAATCGTTTGTACAGGAACGCAAGGAGGTATGCAACAGTTATATGGTTGCTGGCTCTATCCCTTTCGGTGTCCTTGAGCTTCGTGAAGAGCTTTAGCGCCGAACTGAGGAATTCGTCCACAAGAGCTATCTCCACCGACAGGCGGAGTGCTCGAGCGACACACTCCATGCCAAGATCTGTGTGCACTTCCCATTTGCGGCATGTCTGCAAAACGGACAGCGAGAAGTCTATAGATTCTAGACTCTCTCCGAGAAGCTTTGGATTCGACGCCGCGTTCAGCTCTTTGCGGTCCGGTTTCGGGATTGCTGTGCGGAGAGCACGTAAGACTCCGGTTGTTACCCGATTGCTTCCGTCTTTGATCCGAGGCAGCTCAACTGCCTTTGGGAAGACGTTTGTGTCAGATTTTTCATCCGGGCCCGTACCTGGCGCTAGTGCTTGGAGCGGTTTCAGCGAACTTCGGATACTGTCGGATGAGAATGGTTTATATTCAGATGAGACCAGTAGGGTGAGCGATAGCGATTCATCCTCGATAATTTTTTCGATGTCTGGAAAAGGCCGAGTCTCAGTCCAAGTACGATAGATTGACTGAAGATCCTTTTCAACGGAGGCCCAGCAGTCACTACTGCATGCATTCTCGGTACGCTTAGCTTCAGCTTTCTTTATGCTAGGAGTGCGGTAGAAGCGCTTTGAAGGACTCGATAACGGACTGTGGGGGTTGGGCGATGGACTCAGAGGAAGCCCGCAGCTCGAGGGCGGCCGTCGCCTCCTCAAGCGGTTGTAGTGATCAGTTCCAACGAAAGTCAAACGGCTGGGTTTGGTGTCGCGCGAAGAATGCTTCACTCCATGCTCCATGGTATTAAACGGAACTGTTCGATTTGTTTTCTCGGCCGCATCGCTGCTTGTCCGCTTGCGCTTTTGGAGCATCCTCAGTTGCTGATGACGCTCCAAGGTCGCTGCGAGATCCAATGCGCCGATGCTGAGGATATCCTGTTCCAGGACGGTGATGGGATCAAAGCACCCTTCACTGCTCAAATGGGAAGATGTTGAACGTTTCTTCAATGAGAAACTTCCCAGGGTGTGGGGCTCCACTCCGTGCTGCTTTACCGCTTTGATATTTTCCTCCAAGGTGTCGCCAGCACGACGAAGAGTAGGCGTGATACTCTTGTTGGATGTTGCTAAGTGGGTTACTGTGGGGTGGAAAGAGTCAATACCAGCTGTAGAAGTCTATAGAGGCACCAGTTAAGGGGATTGTGCAGGAGCTGCAACTTACTACTAATAAGCCTCACTGCTACACGCAACAGTAGACGCTTCACCGACTCGACGCTATCGTCAGGATTGAAAACATCGCTCATGAACAAGTTGTGAAGATCCTCTTCGCTGAAGTCGTTTCGCCATGCAGTCATATCTGTCAAGACTGTGCTGATTCGATGGCGATGTAAATCCCACGGATCCTTATCACCGGAATTTAACATATCTACCAATGTGTCATCTAGACACATTTCATGATTGTCTTCAACTGAAGCTGAATCCGATCCTTTATCAAGGTGTTCCATATTGTCGTTACTGGTGAGGGTTTTCCGTCGGCATGGTGCGGCCTGAGTGCTCTTAGGCAAAGCCTGAAGCGGATTCGAACGGTGGCACGAAAGTCCTGCGAGGAAATCCAAGATGGAGTCGCATAGCTTTACATATGCAGTTGAAAGTTGATCATTATCAGAGCTTGTTACCGTTGCCAAATGCTGGTGAGGAGGAGAGGTGTTCCCTGGACTCCCGGGCGATTTTAGAGGCTCCCCGTCCTTCTCAGGGCTTAGCCGGCTGTGCGCAGCTTCCAGTGCGGGTGGCGACTCTCCCATGCCTTCTGTACCCATTGATGGTAGATACAAGTTTCCGAAAAGTTTGAAGTGGCAGTGGCTTTCACTGAGGAAATTTCGGCTAGGCTACTAGTGACCCACCAGGGGGAGGTGCACAAGATGGATGGATAACGCGAAGTCCGCTGTAATACGAGGAAAACACGTATGTATGCACGATCTTGCAGAAAGCTGCCTGACCGGTTTGAGCGGAGATATCAGTTTGGAGGGTGCAAGCGTTGCGAATCCGGCAACGAGAATGCGCAGTGAAAGAGGGGTCAGCTGCAAGGCCGACGAAATAATAAACGCTGGGACGGTTGCTCATTTGGTAACGCCCTTGATCCCCACCAATAAGGGACGCTGTGACACAAAAAGCTCAGCTCTTTGCATATGGGCTGAGCGGCTACAACTGCGGGAAGAATGAATCTGACTGAAAAGTTACTCCGTACCCCAGGGTACGTATCGCTTTCGGCTCTAGCCTGCATTGCGCCAACAGTTGTACCGGATAGCGACATTACCCTTCGTAGCTATCAGCAGTCGGTGTGCTAGTAACAACTCTAAGTAGAGAGGAACGTATCCTGGGCTAAGCTCCCAAAGGGGTCATTTACATGTCTGCGAAGCCTCCGCGTATCCATTCCCACCTAGCTATAGGTAACGCCTAGTGGGGAACCAATCTGCCAACCAAGCCCCAGTACTTCTTGGAGGTCAACACTGCCGGGCACCCGCGTAGGTCCTTCACGCACCTCTCGCGAATCGGACGTGCCGAGTACTTGAGGTAGGGTAGTATGCATTATGCATGAAAGCCTGGTGTATCAACACACCTGGTCTGGTTAATCTGCCCGTCTTGCCCCGCAGCCAGGAGGGATGCGATTTTCGGGCATCCAAAAGATCCTTGGAAACTGCATCCTGTTTAAGCAGCCTATTTCTCGTCAAAGGCTGAGGGCCGCAAGCAGTATTCTCCAGATTCATTCATCTGACAACAAACCAAAGCCGAAGTTCAACAACATGGCAAGTCACCCTATCACTGGAGTAACCGGCCACGCATAGGAAGTAGGCTAAGACCCAGTCAAGGCAGAGATATTTGGAACCGCCCTCGCCGCTGCTGGCGCCCTGGAGCAGACTATTAAATTGATCAAACGTATTCGATCTGCAAGGAATAGCCCAAAAGACCTGCCCCCGGTCCTAGAACGCCATATGAAAACTGTGGAAGAGACGTTGAAAATCGTGGAGTTGATCGAAGACCAGGAGCCGCTCAAAACAGAGAACATCAAAAGCGTTCTGTTGAAAATCCAAGAAACGGGCAAGTCTGTGACGGAATGCCTCCAGGAAATGAATGTTGCACTTGAAAAGGGCGGGCTAAAGAATTTCGTCCACCAGATGCGTTCTGGGTCTGATGATCTTGCACGACTTGATACGTTGATGAGAGACTTGGCCTTGTCCAAGGTGGACCTCGGAGTCAGCCTAGAGTTGGTCAGTGTCGGATTGACATATAAGGTCGGCGAGGCCATTGCTGTGAACACTGCCGTTGTCGAGGACCTGAACAGTCGACTCAAAGCACAGCTGGGCGACCAGTATGGCCTCAAGCTGGCAACTATTGTCCAGAACCGGAAAGCCAACGGTATGCAAGCCGCAAGTTACAATGGACTCACTACGTTTGTGTTGCTAAACTCCTTCAGCGGACGGCACCGTTAGCCTCACGGCGGCCGACATAGCCGAACTGTCGGCCAAGCCTCACGATTTAGAATCTGATGATTTTGGTACACATGGCCAGAAGTACAAGAAGCGCATAATCAAGGACAACAGGGCGCTCAGACAGGGTTTCATGCTAAATGTTCCCGTTGCCGGCGAACAGGACATATGGGACCATATTGACGAGATAGAAATCTCCAACAACCTTGCCGAGGATGGGGGAACGATGTTCAATTATCCAGTGTCTAAGGAAGTTTTACTGGCTGGACTTGCGCGTCGTTGATGGGCGACACAACTACCTATACACTGGGACTGTTCAGCTACAATGAGGATTGCGACGGGTTCACTATCTACCATCCGGTGCTTTCCAGTTGCAGGGACAATTGTATGCATGTAAGGTTTTGTCTAATCATATATCGATGATTCAAACCCAAAACGAATGTGAATCAACGACGGAAGCGTTCCGCAGTATCAGCCATGGATTATGAAAATGCGAAAAGGACCGATACCCCCAGGTTTAATAAAAGATGCCGGATGAGCGCACAAATGGTGGCTGTAAAGCGCTCATATCGGCTCAGCGCTCAGCCCATATCGTATTAACATTCAGCAACTTCCATTTCCGGCGGTCTTTGCAGCGCCCACCTGCTGCCACCTGCTGTCCTACCACACCGGCTCATGGAACATAGGCAAAACCCACCAATGTAGCGCAGATCTACCTGTTCATATCATGGACAGCCATCGGCAGCCCTGAGCATGTCATTGGTATGCCTGTTTACCCTTCGGCACGGGCCAGAACCTCCTCATGGGTCTCTTTATAATTACCGAACCCTAAGTTGTGCAGCGTTCCTGTCGGAGAAGCGAAGCCTGTTCGAAGCTTGCAACAAGCACTGCTTCTTTCCGTAGGCTCGGCGTTTTCATATCCGCACGGGGAGTAAGCGCACACCGACTTGATAGCTAGCTATAGCTGCGGGGTCCACTTACATTAGAATCTGTATCTGTATCCTTCTCTCGCCGTGATCGCTCCTTCCCGCTAATTCCCTTTCTTTTTTACGGCAGCAAATGCTTGTCCCCTTTCTTCATAACCATACTGTACAGAAGTCTGTGTGTATCGTTGCACACCGTAAATGAGCCACGAGCGAAATCCCAGCCTCGCGGGGGCAGACCAGCGCCCTCAGCCACCGTCTCAACTCCAGACTAGCAATAATAAGGTCGGGCAAAATGGAATTTTAGTGGCTGCTATGTACGATAGTAGCTCGAGTGACTACAGTAGCAAGTCTCAAATGTACATTGGCGCGCTGAATGTGGAAAACTTGCATTTCTATCATCCTCAGGCAGCCGAGTCCCGTAAGATGGTGTCGAATGGTTCGTACCCCTATTGCATGCCGAGTCCATTTTGTAAACCGTCATTAATGCGGAGCTAACATTGTCGAACCAGGGCAAATAAAGACTTTGACAGAGATGCGGTCACTCCAAACCCAAAGGCCCGATGCCGTTGCAATCCCTCCTAGCACTCCTGAGAGTGTGGCAAATCCTAGGTATACAGCCCCGCCGCAGTCTCTCGCACCTGTGGCGACATTTTCGCCCGGATCAATGTCGAGTACACCGGCATACTATACGGATACCGGCGACGTTGAACCGTCTACAGCTTCTAGTTTCCCCTCTTTGAGTTGGCACATCTACCTGAATAATTGTCTCCAAGCCGCACAAAGCATTACGAAAAAGCATGACTTCATCTGTAAGCAGCTTGAGCCTCGCAGCAGTGAGTTGGAAATCGTTATTACGGAGCTCAAAGTACAAAGAACCATCTGCCAGTCGCAGAGTGAAGCTCTAAGGAGATTGTACACCCCCAGAACCGCACTGGTAGACATCAGTCAGGTTGAGAAACTGGTCAAGGAGGCGTTCAACGCGCTGCAGATCGTGAAGAAGAAGTATGGAGGGCTTTCTCAGCTGCTCCTTAGAGTGCTTGGGAGCATAACAGGAAGTAAGAAATTCAAAGTAGGTGCTCAAATACTGTTTGGTTCGTTGTACATTCCGCTAAATTGGGTCACACAGCAATCGCCTAAGAAAAATCGGAAATCCTACCGTTCACCAAAAGCTGCCAACGGCATCGAGATGAAAGAGCAATACGTGGTTAGTCTCTACAAAAAGATAGCAAGCGCCACCCCATACCTACGCTATTTCCGAGGCATTTGCTCCTCGCTCTCGAACGTGCAACTATCTCAGCAGAGAAAAACACTCAGCGCGGCCGAGGAGCAGGCGTTCCATAGGTTCTCCATATGCCGGAAAGTTTCAGCCCATCTTCACGAGCAGCTCCGTCGAGCTTGTCCCCACCACCCTGAGCACCGGGTCTATTTCAATTTACAGGTCAGTGAAACTCTGGACCAATCAATACCGGAATTAAGCTTTTATCTTGCGTTCGAAACCACGAAACTCACCAGGAACGACCCTGGTTTGGTATGGTTCAAGGCGCAATCGACTCTGTTCGCCTCCGAGGCTGAAAAGACGCCAAGCGTGCTCCGGAGCAGCAGATCGAAATCGAAATCGATTTCATACCGCGGGGTCGTAAAGAATGTTGGCCGGAGTATGGCAAAGAGAGGATTTCCAATTTCAGGGAGTGTTCCTGTGGAGAATACCCGAGGTTCCTCATGCTTGGGCGGAGAGCAAGCATGTGCAATTAGAGTCATTGGCTCAACCTGCCTCGCGAACCTTCGTCAACAAACAGGACATTGGGCTGCTGACCTTCCCGATCTTATGGATAAAGGCACATTTACGGCCGGCCGGAATCGGCTGTATTACCCAGAAATACTGTATGACGCCCACAGTCACCCAGTTTCACTGTCACAGTGGATTACCGAAAAGCGTTATGTTGATGTCTCCTCTGGATCGGTTGTTCCAACAATCATCTTAAACTTGATGCGAATCAAGGTAGCACGCTTACTATGCGAGGCAGTTCTGCGGCTCACCCCAACGTTCTGGTCCCAGACCACACTCAACAGTGAGCAACTGTTGATTGTGGATCGGATATCAGGCGGCTTTCTTGAGCGCGTTCTCGAGCCACACCTCAGCGTGCGGTTAGACAAGTGGTCTCAGTCGAAGTACAGTCTACCTGCGCAACAAGTCTCACCAAGAGGTAGCGAGACACTGCTCCGAATTGGAATTATTCTCCTAGAGATAGCTCATTTAAGGCTGGTTCAAGGGTTGAGAGAAAACGAAGCGGACGAAATCGACAGGACTGATCCAAGCTTCAACCTGGTTACGAAGCTTTGCGGTATAAGTCTCCAGAAACAGTTCGGTCGCTTAGACTATGCGAAAGCGGTAGATTATTGCCTTAATCCGCCGAGTTTGGGGCTTGATATTTCTGACGTCGACTTTCACAAAGAATTCTACCAGGTCGTTATTGTTAGGCTTGAGAAGATTGAGAGAAACCTTGAGCTTGCTCTCGAGAGGCAAAGGAGAGTTACGGACTGTCAATACGTATAATGCGATAGCACAAGATGTCTCTTCTATAAGCCCGTCAGTGGGCATACAACGACCGTACTGTGCCAATGCATTGGTACGTACAGCTTGAGGCTTTGAAATGGCTTCAAGCCAACGCTGATTGTCTTGCGAGGCACACATCCCTATGTAGATGTGGGCTTCTGAGAACCAAGTGGAAGGTCTTTGGTTTCGACAGGGCTTTGGGGCGCTGGCCAAGATAATAAAGAAATGGTGGTTTTGCTGGGAGAAGATGGATCCGAGAAGACAACATGGGAAGAATTGGACATTATGAATAATATAGTTTGACTAAGAGATGAGGAGTTGCGCAGAACTTGACAACCAAAACACTGTTGATTCGAGGGTAGTAGAAAAGAAGAGGAATATCTTCAAGAACAGGGGAGAAACATGTCTTTTGCCGTTTCTGGCCTATCCACGGTGAGACCTGGAACAGATGGGATCGGATTCAACGGTGAAGCTGAAGCTGAGTGGACGACAGGATAAGATCCAGGTGGAGAGACAAAACTAGAGCAAACCAAACGTAGCTGCAACATAGCTTCAGAGACTACGTGAGCGAAAGGCTGATGAGTGAGACGCATCCAATCCGGTCATTACTGCGGTCAGAGTTGTCGAGAGCGGTGATCCTTAGTTTCCTTTGAGTCGTGTCTGCGTAGTAATAGGAACTCGCAGCGCGCTGCAGCTGGAACGCCCGGGTCTCTGTCTTCAATGTAGAGTCTGGAAAATGTGACAGTCAGTTGCCTCAATGATGAACAGGTGCGGTATGCGTGTGCCGCTGGTGCCACATTCCACAATGTAATCATTATATAACAGTAGAGCATCATCTGGAAGGCTGAGTGAGCTGTGTCAGCAGTACCACAACCAACGAGGTACGGAATGGAGAATGCAGATCGAAGATGGCACATGCGTTGCAGTTGGAATGGGGGAAAAGGTGTTTGTTGTCAGTGATACCGTACAGCACCTATTCTTTGAGGTGAACCCCTTCTTTAAGGGAGTTAAGCCTAATTAGTTTACCGCCCTATCTCCGTCAACTAAAGGGCGGCAGAATCCTGTTACAGCCTGTCGCGGTGCAAGAGTAAAGAGATTCTCCTAGGATATCTCCTCTCCTACGCTATAATAAACTAAGAAATAAAAACTGTACAGGGACATAGTCTTTACAGCCCTTTCTATCTAATTTGTACAAGCTTCCTCTGTACAGGAATCTTGCAGAAACAGTAGTGTTCGAAACTGCAAAGAAGGGGTTTACCTCAAAGAATAGGTGCTGTACGGTACGGAATAAAAAGTGTGGTTTGAGAGGCCAGAGAGGGCCGGGGACAGCTTTCCAAGGCACGAGCCGTCCGGAGCTAGCGCAAGGAACAGGCTAGCTGCCTTCCACTTTGGGCAAAGTGTCAAACGGCGCGGTTCTTGGCAGGGCCGTCGGAGTGCGAACCAGCACCAACGGTCTCATGGCGAGCGACCCCCCAAGCCCTGAGCAGCCTCACCTCCACCTCCACCCTTCCTCTCAGTGCTCTCACTGCCACTCGTGCCACTCGTACCACTCTCGGGTTGCGCAGAGCACACACTTCGCGCCCAATTCCCCTTCTTCCGGTCACTCTTTTGCCTGCGCGGCTCCATTCCCAAACCGACCCTCCTTTCGGCTGCACGCTCGCGCCCGTCTCTCCTTTCCACCCCCTTCCGCGCCCAATTGTCACCCTGCCGTTGAATCTCACCTCCATCACCGCCATACGACCGATAGCAGAACTCGCGCCGATCGTCTTCACCAGCTGCGCCAATTCTTTTATATATCCCCTCCCGCTGCCGGATACTCCCATCCGCTCCTGAAACGCTTCAGACTTTGTCGCGCTTCAGACTCTCGACGCCCCCACAGCTGGTCTATGTCTATCATGCGCAGTGCGTAAGAGCATCATTCCGAGCCGGCACACCCCCTTACCGCACGCCTCCAGCCTTAGACCCAACCGTTCGTTGAAAACCCGTCCCCTGTCGCTCTTCCGAACTTCTCGCCAGTGGTGTGCAGCTGGCCTGTCACCACCCTACCACATCTTAACGACATTCACGGCTCCCGAGCGTAGCTACATGTTTTAGCACCGCGCTCAAGTCACTCCTTACACCAACAGCTGGACTGGAAGCCGTTGCCGTTGACCGGATACCTCTCTTAATACCCTCAAGCCGCCAACCATGGGTTGCTGCGGCGATCGCGAGAAGGCCATTGCCGTGAGCGAGGAACAGAAATGGGACTATATTGTATGTCTTGTTGCAATCTCCTCTCGAACCTGCTGACTCTCTTCGCAGACCCTGTCCGACTTCAAGTCTCGTTCCTGCCTGACTCCACTCTCCTATGCATGGCTGTGGATTCTCGTCATAATTTCCGTCGCCGTCTACGCTGCCGATGCCTTCACTGCCGTCAATCTCCTCGCCTTCAACAAATGGTCTAGTGAGGTGCGCCCCAAGGTCAGCTTCGATGTCGCCAAGTGGATCTTCGCCGTGTGCATCATCCTCTCCTACGTCTTCCTAATGTATCGCTGGCTGAGGGCATGGCGCGTCATTCGTTCTGGAAGCGTTACTGAGAGCTACCTGGAACCTCTCGCTGCCATTTTTCAAAGTATGCGTATTACAAGAAGGGGTCAAGGCTGGCGTCGGTTCTTGGTCTTTGCCGAACTGACGAGAAGCAAAAAGGGCGCCGATTATCTGGCGCTCTTCGTCTACTTCCAATTCAAAGGTAAGCCACAACGGCCGCGCTGCCCTATCATGGTACCTAATTCTTCTTAGGCGCGCTCCTCATCATACTGGCACAAGGGCCCCGCATGGTCATCAATGCCTTGACCCTGTGGGCCGTCATGCAGGCCCAACTCATCCCTGTTGGTGAACATGCTGCTCCCAAAGATCGATCGCCCGTCCTCCAGTTCTTCATGAACATCGAGACTATGACCAAAACCGGCAACACGCGGGAAACAGTCATCTATTTTGCCATGCTGTTTTCTCTGGTCATTTGGGTCATCGCTGCCCTGTCTTTGTTCCTGTCCCTCATATTCTACGTGTTCTTCCTGTGGCATTATATTCCCAGCTCCGACGGAACCCTGACCCAGTACTGCCGACGCAAAGTCGAAGCTCGTCTCGGAAGGGTCGTGAGCAAGAAGGTCAAGAAGGCCTTGGAAAAGGAGGATCAGAAACGCCGCGAGGAGGAGAGTGGTCTCAAGAAGAAGGGTGATACCGAAGGAGCTCCAAGGGCGCCAACTCTTCCGAAGCTTGCAGGCACGGACGAGGACACCGCTTCAGTGTTTTCCATGAGCACCTCGACCACAACACTGCCGCCTTATGCTCCCAACGGACCCACGAGGTCCAACACAACCAGTACCAACGCCACATCAAGGACTCTGGCCATGACGCCCTCGCTGCCTTCATTGAGCGAACGGCCGATTCCCAACCGATCTGATACGTCCTTCACCTACGCATCGGACGCACCTCTTCTCAGTCAGGCTGGAAACATGGGAATGTCCTCGCCTGTGCCACCGATGCCCCAGCTTGATCGAGAAGGCGACTATTTCCAAGCTGGACCTGGGCCTCGTCCCATGCCTCGTGGTCCTCCTGGACGTCCATTCTCGCCCATGTCCCAGGGACGAGCCCCTCCGTACTCGCAGCGAGGCCCACTCCCGCCCGTCAAGACGTCCTTCTCGGATGGTCGTGGGACCCCGTCCGGGCAGCTGATTTCTCCCCTGCCTAGCGAAACCGGTACGCGAAACCCACCGTACCCGTCGCAGGGCCAGATCGCCGACCCGACTTTCTCACCATATGATAACCGAGCCCCCAGAACGGGACCAGCGTACGAGATGTCGCCCGTAGACATGACACCTGTAGACAACCGTGGCCCGCAAGAATACGATTACCCGCTAGACATTGCAGACGAGTATCAGCGTCCTCAACTGCCCAACGCTCTTCGCCCAGCATCTCCGGCCCAGCATACAACCCAGAACACCCGGACATCGCCCCCACCGTCGCGGGCCGGTACGGCTCCTCCAAGGAACCCTCGTGCAGGTCTTCCAGCTGCCCTACAATCCGCAATACAACGGCGCGAAGCCTCGCAACCTCTCCCGAACCGGGGTCCTAATGGCATGCCGCAGCAAAGGAGCGCCACGGCGCCTCTGCGACAACCGGGGTGGACCCATGATCCCTATGCCAGGAGCAACACTGCGGCGCCAGGTGCTCAAGGATACAACGGATACTAGCCAAGTCCAGCAGCTGGGAATGCGGGCGTACGGACACGATTTGATACCATGACTGATTGTTTTTTCTTTTCTAGCTCAGTTGCATGGATGCATAATGAGGCGTTCATCATTTCTTCGACGGGATCGTATCCAAGGATTCGATTCCGACTTTCCGTAGGCGACATATATGGGAGGATTGACGATGCTTTTATGTGCAGATACCCTTTCACCAATCTACTCGCTCCTATGGGCGGAGCCACGGCCAGCTGGATTAGCTCTGTGTGAGCTTTGCAGGAGCTTTGGGGGGGCTGTAGTGTCCAAATACACAGAATGGAGTGTTTTGCAGAGAATGTTGCCTTTCGAGAGCTACTGCTAAGTCAAGTTCGCTCTCTGACGGACTGACAAGCAGCAACAAGTTCCTCCCCCTTGGGCCCGCTTCTGGTGACATCGAATGCTATGGAACTGCTGACAAACGACTACTCGCACCGAGAAAACCGGTGAACCCTCGGCACTAGGGGTGAAATACGGTTATAGGCCGGGTAAGAGCCGTCACGCAGGCCGACTTATTCCCTGGTGAGGCCTAAAGATCGGCCTTGAGTGCACCTCAAGTGAAGGGTAGTTAAAAGTGGCGGGAAGCTGAAGCTGGGTGACAAATCAAACGTACGCCATACCTGATTGGGGCATGGTGGACCGGCGCAACCTCATCGACAAGCTTCGCACGTCACCGTCCAAGGTGCGCTGGAACCGCGGGTAGACTATCGATATAAAGCCGTCATGGAGACGTCTTTGAGGGATAAATTTTTGCTCTACAGCGCTCAATTGCTTTTCCCTCCCTGAGATACAGATACACTCATTGTGCCTGTTACTTCTACACATCTAGCATCCTTTCACACTTCATTCAACCTTCACGAGTTTGATACCCACCGGAATTTAATTCCGAAAGCCACAATAATGACGGGCGAGCACTCACATCACGGCTCGAACGTCCAGGTGAAGGGGGAGAATCACCTGGAAAACAAGGCTGCGCCTGGAATCTCCTACTTCACTCCCCTGCAGGATCCTCCAGCGGGCACTGCCCTGACGATGAAGGATGGCAGCAGCAAGATCCCCAAGCTGTTCACACCCATCAAGCTCCGAGGTTTGACGCTACAGAACCGCATTGCTGTATGTTACATCACTCGTAGGAATCGCAATCACGCATACTAACCTGCCCCAGCTCTCCCCTCTGTGCCAATACTCGGCGCAAGACGGCCACCAAACAGACTGGCACCTCACGCACCTGGGCGGCATCATCCAACGCGGGCCCGGCCTCACCTTCGTCGAAGCCACCGCCGTCCTGCCCGAAGGCCGCATCACGCCCGAAGACTGCGGCCTGTGGAAGGACTCGCAGATCGAGCCGCTGCGCCGTGTCGTCGAATTCGCACACAGCCAGAACCAGAAGATCGGCATCCAGCTTGCGCACGCCGGCCGCAAGGCCAGCACCGTCGCGCCGTGGCTGAGTGCCGGCGATGTCGCGGGTCCCGAACTCAACGGCTGGCCTGATAACGTCAAGGCTCCGAGCGCGATCCCTTACAACGAGCGCCACGCCCAGCCCAAGGCGATGACGAAAGCGGACATTGAGGAGTACAAGCAGGCCTTTAAAGCGGCCGTCGAGCGCGCCGTCAAAGCCGGCGTCGACGTCATCGAGATCCACAATGCGCACGGGTACCTGCTCCACTCGTTCCTGTCGCCCGCGTCGAACCAGCGCACGGATGAGTATGGCGGGAGCTTCGAGAATCGGATCCGTCTAACGCTCGAGGTGGTCGAGTTGGCGAGACAGACGATGCCGAAGGATATGCCTTTATTCCTGCGGATCAGCGCCACGGATTGGCTCGAGGAGGCTGGGATCGAAGGCTGGACGGTCGAGCAGACGTGTAAACTCGCGCCGTTGCTGGCGGAGCGCGGAGTGGACCTGCTCGATGTGTCGTCGGGAGGTTTGCACGAGAAGCAGCATATCCACGGCGGGCCGGGGTACCAGGTGCCGTTTGCCAATGCGGTGAAGAAGGCGGTTGGGGATAAGATGGCGGTGAGTGCGGTGGGGAGTATCACCGAGGGGAAGCAGGCGAATGGGTATCTGGAGGAAGGGGGTCTGGATATGGTTTTCGTGGGGCGCATGTTTCAGAAGAATCCTGGGCTGGTTTGGTCTTTTGCGGAGGATCTTGGGGTCGAGGCGAGGTGGGCGAATCAGATTCGGTGGGGGTTTGGAGGGAGGGGTGGGAAGAGTGGGAAGGCTTAGGGTGAATGATCCATTATGCGTATAGATATCCTTAGATCTATAAGAAAGATTTGACACAGTCATGGCAGTACACAGTATAATCATCCTGGACCATGCGATATTCAACTCGATCCTTCATCTATAGATTGCCATTCCCGCCACAGTTCGATCTCCCAACACTGCAGCCTAGCAATCACGAACATCAATAAAGACAAGTATACCTCCCCGTCTGGCTCTTACAAGTGCAACTCCCCTAGTCCTCCAGTGACTCAAAGCCTTGTCTACTACGTGGCCATACTCGCACAAAACGCCTATGCCTTGCACGTGCCACTAAAGTACACGTATCCTCTTCATCCAATAGGGACTCATCGCCACAGCGGCTTGTTCTAAGAGCGCCATTGGTGGAGCAGGATAAAATAATAAAAGAGGGCCGATTACTTGAGGTTTTGTCAGTTTGCCGCTGAGGTGAGTGAGGCTGAGACAAAGAGGACAGGTTGGCAAGTTTTAGGGTTTCCAAGATTGGCTGATGGCGGAGGAGAAAGTTAGGTTGGCTTGGTATTGGACAGGTGGCTGATGCGCAGGGTGTGAGAATAAGGTGGCGAGGGGGGTAATGGTATGTTGGTTCGGGAGGGCGTGGTAGGAGAGATATGTAGGCAGTATAGGGCTACAATGGTTGGGAGAGGAGGTGGAAAGGTGCGGGTACTACATGATAGACTAGATTACCACTTGCCTGTACAAACCGAAAAGGGGGGAATCAATTGATCAAGAAAGAGAAGAGGCAACACAGAGTTCCCCGTACTGTGTACCACAGTATACTTTCTACACAGTACAACACTGCGGCGAAGCGGGCCCAATTCTATAACCATCGAAGTTTCCAGCACGAGGCGAAGTCTACCGCTGAGGAGGAGCAATTGAGGCTGGAGATTTCCGATCCGGCAATCGCCTTACCACTTCCGCACCTAGCGCGCCAAGACCTCCGCTGACCGCCTTCACCGCGGCGGCATAACTGGCAACATCGCAAGGTGGCCTCAAAAAACCTCCAGGTACGCCTCTCGCGCCATATAACTCCCCACCCACCGCCCGGAGATCCCTCCTCCTTCACTCCTTCAATCCTCCACCCCATCAACCGCCCCAATCAACAGCTCTCCTCTTTTTCTGTTTCTTCCTTTTTTGAAAGATACCCGGGGACTTCTATTAGAAGCTTGCCCATTTCATTTTCCACCCCCTCCCCCCAGAGCTGGGAGATTGATTTCCTTGCTTTGCTCGACGCATAGCGGGCGGTCAATTGGGATACGTTCTATACAGACACACCTCCTCACACACACCCACAATGGCTCGACGGTCGAGGGGCGCTCAGCGCTCCACCTGGAGCATCGCTCTGTACCTTCTCCTCGTCCTGGTCGGCGGTCTGATGCTGGCCCGGACAGCACGCGCCGACGACACAAAGGAAGCGGTCAAGGACGACTCTGGCAAGGTCCAGGGTCCTGTCATTGGTATCGATCTGGGAACGACATACTCTTGTGTCGGTGTCATGAAGGGCGGAAAGGTCGAAATCATAGCCAACGATCAGGGTAAGTGGAGACGCATGTACGAATGTTTTCGAGCGGCACTGACAGCGCCCAGGTAACCGTATCACTCCTTCCTGGGTAGCCTTTACCGATGAGGAACGCCTCGTTGGTGACGCCGCGAAGAATCAGTACGCCAGCAACCCCCACCGGACCATCTTCGACATCGTAAGCATCCCTGCCGTCGCTCAAATCGGATTGGTACTGACTGTGGCAGAAACGTATCATTGGTATGAAGTACAACGACAAGTCTGTACAGCAGGATATCAAGCACTTCCCCTTCAAGGTCGTCAATAAGAGCGGTCAACCCCGCGTCCAGGTCGAGGTCCGTGGAGAGGAGAAGACCTTCACTCCGGAGGAAATCAGCGCCATGGTTCTTGGAAGTGAGTGCGCATGCGTAAATTGCCTGCATACTCGGTAACTAACAAATCACAGAGATGAAGGAGGTTGCTGAGAGCTACCTCGGCGAGACTGTCAAGAACGCCGTCGTCACCGTCCCCGCCTACTTCAACGACGCCCAGCGTGCCGCCACCAAGGACGCTGGAACCATCGCCGGCCTTAACGTTCTCCGTGTCGTCAACGAACCCACCGCTGCCGCTCTGGCGTATGGCCTCGACAAGACCGACCAGCCCGAACGCCAGGTCATCGTGTACGATCTCGGAGGTGGTACTTTCGACGTCTCCATCCTCACCATTGAGGAGGGCGTTTTCGAGGTCCAGGCCACCGCTGGAGATACACACCTCGGTGGCGAAGATTTCGATAACCGTGTCATCAACTACCTCGCCAAGAAGTACAACAAGGCGAAGAACGTCGACATCACCAAGGACCCCAAGACCATGGGTAAGCTGAAACGCGAGGTGGAGAAGGCCAAGCGCACGCTCTCGTCGCAGAAGACGGCCAAGATTGAAATCGAATCCTTCCACAAGGGCGAGGACTTCTCCGAGACCCTGACCCGCGCCAAGTTCGAGGAGCTCAATAATGACCTCTTCAAGAAGACGCTCAAGCCGGTTCAGCAGGTTCTGGACGACGCCAAGCTCACCAAGGACCAGATCGATGACATTGTCCTCGTTGGTGGTTCCACCCGTATTCCCAAGATCCAGCAGATGCTGGAGGAGTTCTTCGGAAAGAAGGCTCGCAAGGACGTCAACCCCGACGAGGCTGTCGCTTACGGCGCCGCCGTTCAGGGTGGTGTTCTCGCTGGTGACGCCGCCACGGGCCAGGTCATCCTCATGGACGTGAACCCTCTAACTCTCGGTATTGAGACGACTGGTGGCGTCATGACCCACCTCATCAAGCGTGGTACCACCATCCCCACCAAGAAGAGCCAGATCTTCTCGACCGCCGCCGATAACCAGCCCGTCGTCCTGATCCAGGTCTACGAGGGCGAGCGCGCAATGACGAAAGATAAGTGAGTGTTTTATTTTCGTTTTCCCCTTCTTCACCGTCATCAGAGAAGTGCCCGACACAAAGCCCTTGTTGCTAATCATTCTCAACAGTAACCTTCTCGGCAAGTTCGAGCTCACCAACATTCCGTAAGTAGCCACAGCTTTCCAAGTTGAGATCATGAGCTAACAATTTGTAGTCCCGCGCCCCGTGGTGTTCCCCAGATTGAGGTCACCTTCGAGCTCGACGCCAACGGTATCCTCAAGGTGTCTGCTGTTGACAAGGGCACTGGAAAGTCCGAGACCATCACCATCACTAACGACAAGGGCCGCCTTTCCCAGGAGGAAATCGAGCGCATGGTTGAGGAAGCCGAGAAGTATGCCGAGGAGGACAAGGCCAACCGCGAGCGCATTGAGGCCCGCAACAAGTTGGAGAACTATGCCTACAGCTTGAAGAACCAGCTCAACGACGACGAGGGCCTTGGTGGCAAGGTTGAGGATGACGACAAGGAGACGCTCCAGGACGCCATCAAGGAGGCGCAGGACTGGCTCGAGGAGAATGCGTCGTCGGCGACGAGCGAGGACTTTGACGAGCAGTTTGAGAAGCTCTCGCAGGTGGCGTACCCCATCACGTCGAAGCTGTACGGCTCGGCGGGAGGTGCGGGCGGCGAGGATGAGGAGCCTACCCACGACGAGTTGTAGAGGGGGGTTTCTGTTTCTGCAAAAGTCCATCTAGCACATGACATATTATCTTTGCATGAGCGAGCCACGCTGGCTGGGGCAGACCGAGAGGTGCCCCTTGTACACTATAGTTCTTGTTAGAGCGCAGAGTGGAGCCATAGTCTAGACAGCGGGTGGTGAACTTGAACGGAGTCTGGGTATGTTCAATGTGAAATGTTTTCCAAAGTTTTGGATTCAGTTTTGTGTATGATGAGTGATTGCATAGGTGATACCGAGGTGTGGTCTGTCCAGGTGGGAGAGGCGGATTGGATGGCTTGCTTTCGAATGTTGCGTCTTCCCTCCCTCCCTTGCATAATACTGCGGCTTTCCACATCCGACTGAACATCCGGCTGCAACTCCTCTGTAGGTGGAATTGCCTACCCGGCAACAAGCTAACTAGCTACGACTTAAATAATGCGAATTTTCTTCTTCTTTTTAAACATACTGCTATACGTAGAGGCGCGCTCTAGAGGCGCGCTACGAAGCTAATCGCAGGAGACCTCCTCTATTGCTGCGCCCTGCTAGTTGTCTAAATTGGATGTGGAAAACAGCAGTACAGAGGAAGTGCAGGGGGGTGTTCAGTCGGACGTGGGAGGAGGCGGTAGACACATTCCGCGACTGCCCCATTGAGCAAGTAAGGAGCAAAAAGAAGGAAAGAAGGGAGGGAGGAGAGCAAAGGGCGAGGGAAGAAGAAAAAGCTTGATTTGACGACGTCTCCTCCCATTCTGTTTCCTTCCTCCTCTGATCTCTTCTTCTTCTTCTTCTTCTTCTTCTTCTTCTTCTTCTTCTTCTTCTTCTTCTTCTTCTTCTTCTTCTTCTTCTTCTTCTTCTTCTTCTTCTTC